TGTTGTGATTTTCAATGTAAACCTTAGAGCCAGACTGCCTTGGATTCATGGTATACTATTGTTCCTAACTGCTTAGCTACCCTGGGCAAGTTGTTTTGCCTCACTGTGCCTCAGTTTTCTCACCTTTAAAGTGGAGAGGACACTGATGTCTACCTCAGTGATGTTCAGTGTGGTTCCCAGGCCAGCAGCATCAGCACCACATGGAAACTTATTTGAAATGCAAAGTCTCAGTCCCCATCCCAAACCTCTGGGGTCAGAAACTCTGGGAGTGGGGCCTGGAATCCATGAATCTGTGTTTTAACCAGCCCTTCTGGGGTTCTGAGGCACACTGAAGTTTGGGTACCATCAATCTACCTCATGGGAATATTGGATTAAATGAGATAATATGTGTGAAACACTTGTACTTGGAGCACAGGAAGTCTTCCCTGTACAATTAGCTGGTATTAAAAATAGTTATATTGAAGAAAGAGATTTAATAGTGACTGCCACCTTCACTGCCCTTTTCCCCATGGGCCCACCTGGTCCACTTCACTTATTTTTGCCATCTGACTGGCCCTGGAGCCACTGGACTTCGCAAATCCTGCCTTGGGAATCCAATTAATTTTTCCCAGGTCCCTTCTTTTGGGTACCCAGGAAATTCTACCTCCTTTCTTTTATTGTGAAAGCAATTGGCCTGACCTGTAATCTACCCACACACTGACATCCTAGCTCTGCTAGACCAAGGTTTCTGGGCCTCACACTGCCAGATCCTGCACCTCTCCTTTTCCTCTACCCTAGACTCTGATGCAGGGGAAAGAGCTTTTAAGGATTCCTGGACCCATACCCTGAGTGCCTAGCTGGCTGCAGAGGCTCTCCATCTGGGCTCAGGCTGCTTTTGTTCCTTCTGGCTCACAGACATTTGGGCAGCGCCTGTATCAGCAGTACACCTGTTACACTGTGTTCTTCATCAGCATCGAGATGTGCCAGATTGCCGACGTGCTCATTCGCAAGACACGCCGCCTCTCTGCCTTCCAGCAGGGCTTCTTCAGGTGTCCAGCTGGCCCCAGCCCTACCCTCAAGCCCTAGTCCTGACTCCCATCATGTTCTGACCAGGGCTTACCACAGCCAGCAAAACCAGCACTGAATATACAGGTGTGCCGGTGCCAGGTGCTAGCATTCCTTATCACAGCTGGTCAGTATCTCCCATCACATGCCTCTCAACTGACCCTTCCACGTTTCATCAGCTAAAGGGGTGATGCTGACAGGGCCAGCATCCACTATTATAGAGGTGCAGGCCATTCTGGTTTAAATGTTTAGAACATCTCCCTGCTGCTAATGACATCTGACCTCCTCTGACACAGTTCCTTATTTCTATCTGGCCCCCAATTCCTGATGGCTGTCTTTGTCCTGAGCCCAGCGGTCCCACTCTGTCCCACCCTGTCCCACCTGCAGGAACAAGATCCTGGTGATTGCCATCGTGTTTCAGGTCTGCGTCGGCTGCTTCCTGTGTTATTGCCCTGGAATGCCCAACATCTTCAACTTCATGCCCATTCGGTGAGGGGTCATTGAGGTGTGAGTAGAGGGATGGGCATGTGGGACACAGTCCTGGGGATCACCTTCAACTTGCCATCTTCTGTGCCCTCAGGTTCCAGTGGTGGTTGGTCCCCATGCCCTTTGGCCTTCTCATCTTTGTCTATGATGAGCTCCGGAAACTTGGAGTTCGCTGTTGCCCGGGCAGTGAGTGTGGAAACTGGGGACTTTGGGTGGCGTGAAAATGCTTTCAGAGCAGCTGTCCTGACATTTGATCTTCAACACTTGACCTCCAAATCAAACTATTATAATCTCTGAGCCCCTGGCCCCATACCCTGACCCTCATTCCCCCAGCACTGAGTCTTTGCTTTCTCTCTCCCAGGCTGGTGGGACCAGGAACTCTACTATTAGAGGGACAGCAGCCTTTGTGTCATCCCTGCCTCCACCACAGCCAGATGGGGTCAAGACTCATGGGACTGTCTGGATCAAAGCGTCTGAGCAATCAAGAGTCCTAGCCTGACCTGTGTCTGCTCCTATAGCCCATGGCACCCAAACATGGAGGGATCTCCCTGTTCTCCTTCCCCATCCAAAGGGGGCCCAGCTTCCTGGAGGAGCAGTCACTAGACCAAGTCCTCTGAGCTGGCCTGGTGAAGCCTCCACCCAATGGCTGGGGTTTGGTGGGGTGAAGGAGCTAGCAGCTTCTGTGAGGTAGGGTACCTGGGGACTCTTCTTTAAAACACCCTTGTGTCTGCATAATATTAATAAACCAGCTCACAGTTACAGCTTTTTAATTCAGTGCGACACCATCTTAAATGGTTTTCATGAGCCCCTTTGGTCACACAATGCTCCAACTTATGGGCTATTTGTTCAGGGCCTTATCTCCAGTTCCTAAAACACAGCCTGCCATGCAGTAGGTACTCAATAACCCTTCTTTGGGGAAAGAATTCCCATTTCTTTGCCTAGGATTACAGCATTTAAAGGCATGATGGATGCGACCTTAGGCACCATTCAGAGCACTGCTTCGACCACCCTCTAACCTAAACACTGCCTCTGGGCTCTCTCCTTTCTCAGCACTCTTCCCTCTGGGGAGGATCCTTGTCACAGGGTATCAAAATTTTTTCCACCTCAGGCAGCCCCCTCTGTCTATACTTCACAGGTGTCTCCATTCTGATTCCACTTGTTCATTCCTTTGCTGCAGCAACTCCTGGAGGTTAAACTCACAGGCTCTTCCTTCTACCCTCTCACCTGAAAAGTTAAGCTTCCAATTGCCAGAAACTCACCTGTCCCTGGGCCCTCCACCTCCCTCTGGTTACGCTTTTCCTGGTCCCCTTTCTTGTCTCTCTTCCCTTTTCTTGAATGAGACTCTCTGGCTGGGCCCTTGGCTTCTCCCTCCTCTTCACCACAGTACCCCTGCCCCCCTTTCAGTTTTGTTTCTGCAGTGATACCTACATCTGTCTCCAGCCTCAACAGGCATGTCTGAGATCAGCCACGCTGGTCCCTGCATCACCCTCCAAACTGCTCCCATTCACTGTCCCATCAGTGGGTTCCTTCTCCCTGTAAAATGTGATGAGTCCTCCGGGCTCTTCAGTCCTTCCTCACCTGTCATCTCCCCAATCCTCCCACCCCTCAGGGAAAATAACATACAGCCTACTGGTCACGGCATCTCTAATCTGCTTACAGCCACTCTCCTACTTGTCATCACTGTCCTGGTCCAGTCCTGGCCTTCTGGTCTGTCTCTCCACCCACAGTGGACACGGAGATCTTCCCAAAGCCAGATCTCACCTTGTAGTCCCCCTACCTAGAACTCTCCATGGCTCGCCACTGCCCCTGGTTTACTCCTTACCCAAGCCTCAGAGCCTTCTGGCATTTGGCCCCTGCTGACTTGTCTCACAAGTCCCCTTGAACTTGTTCCAACCAGTTATGTTTTGCTGGGAAGGCTGTGACTTCAAGGCCTCAGGCCTTGACACCTGCTTTTTTTGTCTTTGACCACTGACTCACTTTTCAGGTCTCAGCTCATGTGCATCTCATTGAGAGAGCCCAGCTTGCCCCTAAGTCTGTTAGCTGGCTCCTCTGGGCCGCCACAGCCCCTGTGTTTTACCATCACAGCCCTAATAAATGTAGTTTAGCTCACCCGTCCTACCACTCCCACCAGGCTTCACCCATTACAGCCCTGATCTTTCTGGCCTGTGCTCCTGTCCCCCAACTTCTCTGGTCTGTCTGTATTCCATGAAACCTGGGATTAGTTCACAGACAGCTGGCCATGAGAAGGGGGCCTGGGTCAGAGTCCCTGCTCAGCAAATAGTTGTTGAATAATTCCTGCAAACTTCACTTGTTCTGGTAAGAGTCAAGAGCTGGGTGGTACATGGGGTAGGAGTATGGGAGAAAGAAACTCCATTACACATCCGCCCACCTGGGCTGGGAGAGTGCCTGCTATAATCCCTTTTCAAGTCAAAGTCAGGGTGACCAATCAATCACTTCCCACACCTCTCCCAAGACACCTGTGGACCCTGTCTTGACTATGGACAAGGAGATGGGGCTAGATGGTAGTTGTATGTTCCCTCTGAAAACACCAAGATTGTCATAGCAGAGCTGAACAAAACTGTGCCTGGTGTTTTCCTAGGCCCAGGGTTAATTTATATTATGGCAGGACTACCATAGTCTGAGTGAGGCAAGGGACAACTGCCCTATCCCATACCCTGGGGGATATCACTGGGAACACCAGGGCTGGGGTGCACTTTCCTGAGCCAGCAGGATTTGCATCAAGGTGGAGCAAACATGATATTCAAAGTCCTGCTTCTGACATCCTTCTCAGGGAGGGGGAGAAAATGGGTCAGGGAGTGGACCCCACTTGAACAAGGAAGTGTTAGGGTGGTGAGGGTGCCATCTAGAATATCGAAATCGAAGGGCTCAAATGCTCTATTTGGCTGCAGCTATCTCTGAACTCCACCCTAAGAATTCTCAGGTCAGGATTTGATCTGAAGGCCACAAAACTGAGTCAAAGTACTGAGGAGCTCAGAATCACAGACGTCTACCCCAAGGGCCCAGTGTGTTAATAGGGAGCCCTAGATAGTTGTAAGGAGGCCGAATTAGTAAGACTGGGGTTTCAGAGAGATGTCCTTGGCTGCCATTTAAAGGGTGGATCAAAGGAGATTGGGGGCAGGTGTCTAGAGGGTGACTAGCCAGGGAAGGGTCTGTGTGGGAGAGGGCCCGATTAAGGCTATGAGGTCCCCAAGGACCCTCTTTTCAATTCTAGCTCCCCTCTATCATCTGTTCTATGATTTGCCACTGCTCAAAGATTATATACTTCAAGCCCTTAATCTAGTCTGAGGCAAAAAAGGAGCTGAAGAACTGCTCCAGGAACACAGGACAAAATCAGGGCCACCTAGCTTCCTAGCCTGTCTACCTGGCTCCAAAGCCAGAACAAGGGTTTCTGGGATGCAAGTGAGCATGGTATTGGTAGACAGTTCTGGCGAGAGAGGTAGGCAGAAACAACTTTCCAAATACTGTTTATTTCACGAAAACCTGTAGACAAGGAAAAGGTATATGGGACACCAAGCCTAGGAGTGCACGTTGACAACGGCGACATACAAGGCAAGGGTGCTGAGGGCCAGCAGCCCCGTCACTACTGCTCGGGCCAGAAGTGCCGTCCAGCTGCCCAAGGAACAAAGGTGGACGAAGGTCCTGTGGGGAAATGTTACAATTAAAGAGGGAAAACAGAGAACCCATCCCCATTCGGACCCAGCCTGGAACCCCACCCAGCTCACTCCATGACAAAGGCCTTATAGACACTGAGGAACATCAGCAGGAGGACGGCTGGCCGGAAAGTGTGGTACAGGTCATAGCGTGTTATCATCCACACCTGGGCAGATGCGACGATGTAATGGACCTGAAGGGAGGCAGGAAGTCAGGGCCGGGCCTTGAGGAGTGGTGCCACCAGCAAAAAGTTGTGTATGGGAGAGTGGGACTGCGTACCAGACTGATGTTGGAGTCAATGCTCATCTGGATGTACTTCCAGTCAAACTCAATGCCCCGGGCTCCAACCCAGAGAGGGATGCAACTGAAGAAGGCAAAGGGAAGGATTCTCAAGTACCCAGAAGTCCTCAGCACCCAGAATCTGAGCCCCCACCCTAGAGAACCTCCCCAAAACCCAGGTGTCCTTTTTCAAGAATCTGGGCTCCAGGCTGCTGCACACACCGGGACATAATGAGCTCCGCGGTGGCCCAGCCCAGGGCAGCAACCATGATCTTGTATTCCCCTTTGCCGGCATTCCGGGACATGACAAGGTTTAGGCCTACTAGATCTGCCACATCCACGCTGGCCTTCATGAACTCCTGCGGGTCAGGTTGAAGCTTGAATAAGCACAGGTGCCAGGGCGCCTCATTTCTGCACTCCCTCCCCCCTTCCTTGCCCCACTCACCCCAATGAAGTCATAGATGCCGCCTTCCCAGGTGGGAAAGAAAGTGGCCAGGAACAACATCTGAGAACAGAAAACAGAGGTCACCTCAAGGTGAGGAAGATAAACTATGGGGGTCTTGTGGGAAATTACTGTGTACATGGTTCCAGGGTTCCCATGTGGAGAGGAACCACCAGATGGGGGGCAAGATTACAGGACCAGGGGAGATGAAGAGTAAAGACCTAGTTCTTTTACGGTGATCACAGGGGATCAGGGACAGACCTGGAGGTGCCTGGGCATTTGCAGTCAGTGTGGTGGCTGGCGGTTCCCTCTTAACTATACAATCGAGTTTTCTCAATTTTACAAAAATAGCTATGCAATAGTTGCTTGGACCTCTCTTCAGGTTCCACCCTCCCAAAGTTCATCTTCTATGTGTAGTGCGGAGGACCGTCCCACACAGCGGGATGGCAGCAGGGTGGAGCCCTGGGTCAGGCAAGCCTAGGAGCTAGGTGCGCGGCTCCGGACGCCCTCACCTTGCAGAGCTGCACGAAGAGGTAGGTGACGCCAGCCTGGACGCACTTCCAGAAGGCATTGTACTCGGACCTGCAGGAGCGGGCGGTGAGGGCTCGTCCGGGCCCGCGCCCCCCGCCCCGCGGCCGCCCCGCACTCACAGGCCGCTGCACTTGTAGGTGATGAAGTAGGGGAAGTAGGCCAGTGCGAAGCAGTTTCCGAAGTGAAACAAGGTCATGGCGCCGCCCCGGGCCCGGCGGAGCGCACAACCCTACCTTAACCGCCTGGCGCCCCAGCCCACACCTGGCGCCTCGGCCTCGGCCGCGGCCTGCGCGGCCTTCTGGGAGCTGAGTCTACGGCGCTGGCGCACTGACGTCACGAGCGCCGCCAGGGCACTGAGCGCGGCCGCCTGAGCCTGCGCGGGCTGGTGCGCCAATGGGGTTGGGGCCGAGCCGAGCGCTCAGAGGACGGGTGGTTGCCGCCGGAGGGAAAAGGCACTGAACCCCGCGGTGAACGGCGCAGAGATACGGGGCGCAGCTGTGAGCACTCTGTTTTTATTTCACTGGTGGCCAAGCGGGGCAGTCCCCTTCCCCAGGGCGCCCTCCTTCCCCTGGGGAGCCGAGGGCGGGAACGGGAGGTAGAGGTTCTGGGCCGGGAGCACAGGCAAAGATAGGATGGGCTGTCCTACTTTACTTGTCTCGGCTAAACATGTAACAGAGGAGGTCCACCACCCGGTGACTATAGCCGTATTCGTTGTCGTACCTGGGGAGGGGCCAGGAGTGTCAGGGCATTTCTCCCTATCTCTCCCAGTCTCCCCGCACATTCTCTGGCTCCTTCCCCCTTACCATGAAATTAGTTTAACGAAGTTGTCGTTGAGTGCGATGCCGGCTTTCGCATCGAAGATGGACGAGTGTGTATCGCTGACAAAGTCCGTAGAGACAACCTGGGTGTAAAAGTTTCGAAGGTAAGTGTGGGTCGCAGAGCAAGGACCTCCAGGAGTCCAGGTTCTGACTCAGGCATATTGGCCATCCATTCATCTACAATATTTGATGGGCTCCTACTGTGCTCAGGCTGTGGATGTGAAACAGCCTGACGCTGCACCAATAAATATTTTCTGAGAATAAGGCAGACACTTGGAATGGGCTGGCAAGGAGGTTCTTGAGTGGAGGCAGCTAGGCTTGGTCTGGATGGCTAGGGGGGTCCAGCCAACTCAGATCAGTTTCTCAGCAGTATCTGAGGTAGGAGGAGCTGCAGCACAGAGGCTCTGAGGGTTTGGGCCCTGGTGTGGTAGAAGGCCACAGGAAGGTTTTTAGCCCGGGGGGGGGGGGGGGGGGGGGGTGTGATTTGATTTTGTTTTAGCGGGGGGCGGGGGGGGGGGCGGGGGCGGGGAGGTGGATGGGGATGTGATTTGATTTTGTAAAAACAAGAGGCCCTGGTGACTGTTTGAGGGTGGACCTGAAGGAGCTAAAACAAGGAGACAGCACCAGAGATGATACTATTGGGAGCAAAGGAACAGTGACATCTGTTCCTCACAGGCAAGGCACCTGGCCATGGCCTGCCCTGAGCAAGTGTTAAAAAATGGGATCCATTGTCTTGTTCATGAAGCATGTATTGAGCACCTGCTGTGTGCCAGGCCCTGGGAAGATGGCTGGAGCTATGAAAGTGAAAAGGCAGTCCCCAAATCCTTGCCTTCCTTGAGTGCATGTGCTAGCACGATCAACAGTGAGTATGAAATGAAATTTCAGATGAGGAAAAAGGCAATGGAAAGAACATCTTGGTGAGGAGGAAGACTGAAATAAAGACTTGGAGAAGATGAGGACAGATATATGGCCACCTGGGGGAAATGCTTTCCAGACCAAAGAAGCACCAAGTGCAAAGATTCTGAGTCAGGGAGATCTGCCTTCCCAGCGTTGCAGTTCCTATCTTGATACATTATGAGCAGCTCCTTGGCAAATGGGGAGTCGTGCTCACTCCCCAGAGGGTTCCTCCTAGGGTGTCCTCTCCTCAATCCCTACCTCATCCTCCGTGTAGGCAAGGATGCCAGCCATGGGCCCCTTGGCTGCTGCTTTTATGGCGTCCTTGATGGCTGAGTATGGGGTAGGCTGGGCCAGGCGGCATGTCAAGTCCACGACAGATACATCTGGCGTTGGCACCCGGAATGCCATTCCTGTCAGCTTCCTAGAGAATCCCACATTGGAGTGGGAATCAGAACCCAGGGACTTCTCTGTCCATCTCCCCTCACCTCCATCCTCCCCTCATTAGACACCTCAAGGACTGGGGCCACTTCGGCCCTCCCAAGGTATGCCCCCCTTCCTGGTTGCAGCTCCCTGCCCTCATACCCTTTGAGGTCTGGTATGACTTTGCCCACAGCCTTGGCAGCCCCTGTGGAGGCTGGAATGATGTTCTGATGGGCTCCCCGTCCGTCTCTCCAGGCCTTCTTTGATGGCCCATCCACTGTCTTCTGGGTGGCCGTGTAGGAATGGACTGTGGTCTTTGGGAAGAAGGGGACTGAGGTGAGGCCTTCCTGCTCCTAAGCTCCCATACCTCTTTTTTCCAGGCCCGGAGTGATGAACCAGATGTGGTGGTTGGTGGGGCCACCACCACAGATCACAGGAGGGACACCTGCAGGCCAGGGCCCAACCTTGCCTGAGAGTTACACAGGGTTTTAAGAGACTTCACCAAAGGCGGGCCTTTCCTCTTGAAACCTGTCTCCTCCTATTAACTTCACACACTAAGCAAGTCCTAAGAGGAAGAGGTACAGTTTCCCTGCCATCCATCCTTCCCCAGCCTTCAACTCACCATCAGTCCTTCCACAATCCCAAATCGCTCATGAATGACCTTGGCGAGGGGGGCCAGGCAGTTGGTAGTGCAGGATGCATTGCTGAAACAGCCCAGTGTGCAAGGGCACTGTGAGGTGAGGATCAGAACCACCCTACTACCCTTACCTCATTTTGGGGATATGCTCATGGGTTTGGTTTTGTGAAGAGTCAGGATGGGGATGAGCGGGATCATTGGGGATGCCTTCGGACTGACGGAGACACCAGGGGTGCAGCTGGGGAAAGCTCCCCAAGCATGCTCTCCAGAAGTCATGCATTTCTAACGGTTTTAGGGGAACGTGAACATGGTGGCTGTTAAGACTTTGGGAAGGAGAAGCAGATGGACGTGAAAGAAATACCAGTGGGGGTGTGGGTGGGGAGGCTGAGTTGGTCCCTCCTCATCATGGGCTGACATGTCTTCTGGGCACCACCCACCAACTTCAGGATGTTGCTGCCCCTTACCTGACAATTTTCATGGAGCCAGGGTTATAGTCCTTTTCATTCACCCCCATGACAAACATAGGTGCATCTGGTGAGGGTGCGGAGATGACCACACGTAAGGCACCTGCCGCGATGTGGTTCTAGGGAAGAAGGAAGGAGCACTGGTGTCATGAATTCATAAGGTGCTTACCACCACCACCCCCCCCCACCGCCCCCCGGCCAGCCCTGGGCACACCTCTCTCCCACTTACGGAAGCTTCCTCTAAGGACAGGTACACGCCTGTGGACTCCACCACAAAGGGGCTCCCAACAGACTTCCAGGGGATATCTTTTGGCTGTTTGCTGTGGAGGGGTGGCAGCACTGTGCATGAATCTCCCTTGCGTGGTCTGGCTTTCATAGTCCATGGATACCTTCCCACCTGGCCTGCAGCCATCTCTTCTCCCCACCCCACACATACTTAGGTGTCCCAGATGGATTTGACCCTGCTGATCTTGTCTTTCACCCCAAACCTGCTTTCTGGGCCACTTTTCTTGACTGCCCCACCCCTGCTATGCCTGGGTGTATACAAGCTCCCACCTCCCCTACTCAGGCCTCACTCACCCCTTGCCCTTAGAGGACCACCCCTGACTACTCCCAGTCAGGTCAGGCCCTTTCTACATATGCTGTCTAGAATGTAGACCCCAGAAAGGCAAGGCCTGCCCCACTGCTTTGGGTTCCCTGCCTTGGCAACCTCACCATGGCCCGATTTGCCTCTTTTATCTCTGCCACAGGGCGGGCAAGTCCCTGAAGACAGGCAGTACATCATGGGAACAATGGGGGTAGGGGGTGTAAGTGAAGCCTGAGGCCACCCTGCAGTCAGCAGTGGTTAGTGGTTTACATCAGAAAAGTAAGGACCTTTACAGTTTCCTGTTTTTTAAGTTTACATTTTTACTTGATAGTTTATCAAATGCTTGCATTTGAAACTATATGTTAAACCATTATTGCTGTTTTCTGCTTGGCTTTTCCCTCACAGGGCTTATTACAACTGCAGTATTTGCTTTTGTGGTTTTTTGTAAGCATCTATCATCTTCCAGACCACTCTGTGGCAACAGGGCTGGGTATGCTTCCTTTGTCATTGAGCCTGCTCCCCCCACAGGGGTTCAGTCAGTGTTTGTAGGGTTATTTTTTATGAGCCATCCTACACATGTTTACTGAACACCTGCCATGTTCCCACGTTCTAAGTGCTTCGCCTTTACTCAGTCATTTAACCTTTACAACCTTCATTCTTCAGAGAAGCCAAGGCAGAAGTGAAGGGGTGGGAGGAAGAGCTGGCTGGGAGCATAGGCAGGCTGGCCCCAGGATCTGTACTGGCCGCATGCCAGGATAAATGACTGAGTAGCTTCCTTTCGTCTCCTTGGGCCACCACCACACTGGGCACTTGCTCTGTCAGGTCACACTTTTCATCATCTGGCTCAGCTAGCTTTCCTCTGAGGACCTCCATTTCCTCCCTTCCAAGTTGGGGAAGGGGCTACTCAACAAACTCCTCTGCAGCAATTATTGAGTTGGCATGGGGCAAAGAGGTGGCACCTCAGGAGACCCCAGCCCCTTCCTCTAGGCTTTAGGGCCCTGCCTTGCTGTCCAGTGGCCTGTTTTGAGGATTCCATTCAGTTATTCCTCAAGGAAGTACTGAATCTACCCAGAGCCAGGGCCTGCACCATAGGTGCCAAAACAACAGTGATGACACAAACTAACAGCTCTTCCTGCAAGGAGGCTGTGGCCTTGTGGGAAAATGTCCTTCCCAGTGCTCTCTACACACCTATTAGCTTTGGCTGTGCTACCCACTATGAATGTGGTGGAAATGATCATCATCCCCATCAGTAACATGAGGAAACAGGTCCAACAAAGTTCAATTCCCTTGCCCAAGGTCAACTGACTAGAAAGGGTGGAGGAGGGTAAAGTACACACTAGCAAGATTGCTTTTGTGCCTGGAGAATGTGCACAGCGCAGTGATGGAGGGTGGACCGGAGGGGGGAACAACCATTGCAGTGACCTGACAAGGCCAGCACCCGAGTAGGAGTGCACCCGGGGGGAAGACTGCTGCAAGAGGCAGGAATGACAGCGCCCCGGTTGAGGAAGGAAAGGACACAGTGTGTCAGTAACGACCTCTGTGCTGGAATTGGTTTTGGTATGACTTGGGTCAAGCAGCTTCTCCCATTCTCACCGATGCTCCAGTCCCCGTCTCCACCACACTTCCACTCCCTGCACCCAACACTGACCACCTCACCTTAAGCCTTCCTTGCCTCTCTTCATCATTCACCTCCCCAGTGAATGAAAGGAGAGGGGCTGAGAGTGGAGCTGCTGGGAGGAGCACTGGTAAGGCTCGTGAGCAGGCAAGCACAAATGCGTATAAAATCAGGGCTGGCAGTGGCTAACAATTTACTTTAGAAATATAAAGTAGGTTTATTGTTTCTCATTTTATAAATTTTTAGGTTTTTTTAATATCTTGGCAATGTTGTGTTTGAAGTATATTAAACATCTAATATTGCTTTTGACTTACCGATTCTGAACATGGCTTTAAATGAAGGAGGAAAATTAATATCAGTGGGAGCTATGTGAAATGGGTATGAAGAAGCATTGCGTAAGTATGGAGGTGCTGGATTGGGGTCCCAAGAGGTAAATGGACAGTGTGGCTGAGGTTATGAAAAGGCTGAAGCATAAAGCTCATAGTGCTTGTGGGGCCCTATCGGGAGGTGGGATTTTATTTGTGGGATGATAGGACAGTTTCAGCAGGGGAGTAACTGGGTCTAGTTGATGTTTTAAATGGGCCTCTGTGGCTGCTGTGTAGGAACTAAGTGGAAGCGGTTGGCTAGGTGGCCGTGCTCGTCCCTGGGAAGGGAGATGAATAGGTTTGGGGTTGAAGGAAAATCAAGAGGTGAGTTTTACACATGTTGCATTGATTTGTGTGCGAGAAAACTTGCAAATGTGTGTTAAATAAAAAGTAATTGTTGAGTACAGTGGGGCCTCTTTCCATCTACCATTTTAGCAGCCAGAAACTTCTCTGAGACCCCCTCTCCAAACCAGTACCAAGAGGTATGCACACACACAATCTGGGGGGTTATGAAGCTCATGTGAGAGGCTGGAAACAGCTGCCCTTACCACTGGAAGACACTGATTTCCTGGTTATCCACGACCAGCCGTCCATTCTTGTATTCCACAGTCCCCTTGTATCGGCCATGGGTGGAGTCATACTTAAACATGTACACCTGTGGAAGACAGAATGGCTCGTAGTCTTGGGGTTGCAGGGGTGGGGAAGCAAGCATCCCTGAAGAGTCCCTGCCTTGGCAAAGGTTCCACATTGCAGTTGGGAGCCTTCTAGAAAGCTCCTTAAACCTTCTCTCCACCCCAGTCTTACCCTCTTGCCTGCTGCTCACCATGTATTCTGGGTCAATGAATGGATCATTCACTGCCACCACCTTAATGCCTTTCTCCATGCAGGCACGCAGCACCAGGCGACCAATGCGTCCAAACCTGTCCAGGGACAAGTGTTGTGGGATTGTCTTCAGAATCCTTGGCAAGCAGGCAGAGGAGGGGACAAGAAAGAAGGGCTAACAGGAGGCTCCTCAAGGAGACTGGGTGGGACTCCTCAAACTGGGGGAAGAAGGCAGCTAGCCCTGTGTGGGCCACTATCATCTGAGACCTCGCTAGCCTCTTAACTGATTGACCTACTTCCTCACTCATCCATCCTCTGTCCCATTCCTCACCATATAGCTAGATGAAGCTTGTAGGACTTCAGGTCAGATGATGTCTCTTGGTCTGAAAACTTCCATACTGTATCAGAAAAACCAGATCCAAACTTCTAACCATGGCCTGCCAGGCTGCTTTCCACTGCACTCCCTCTTCTCCCTTGCTGCACATCAACACACTGGATTCCTGCCTGTCCTTTGTACACTGAGCTGCCACCTCTGCTCCAGAGCCATTGCTCGCTCTACAGCTGTCACTCGGGCTTCACTCCAGTATCACCTCCCCGAGGCCTTCCCTAACACCCCAGCTAACACTGGCCCGTCCAGTCTTACTATACTCTATACTTCATACACACATCCCCGAACCAAATGTTCCTTATTTGACTGTTGTCTTCCCACCAGAATATGAGCACTCAGAGGGCGGAGCCCTGACTGCCTTCTCCCTGTTTCTCCAGGGTGGACAGAGTGAAAGCACTGCTGGGGAGAAATGTGGAGATGCCGCATTCTACTAGTAACCAGAGGGAAGCCTGGGCCCTAAGGCTTCAGAAAGGGATCAGGGGCCAGGGCTGACTCACCCATTGATGCCAACAGTGAGTTCCTGAACCTCAGGAACCTTAGGTGGAGGAGGTGGAACCTCCTCCTTGATAGGCTGCGGCTGCGGCTGCGGCTGCGGCTGTGGCTGCGGCTGCGGCTGCGGCTGTGGCTCTGCCTCAACTTTGGGCCCTGGCCGCGGTGGTGCTCTGGTCACTGTTGGTAGGGGGATGGGGGTGGCAATGAACTGCACCCTCACAGTGAGAGAGAATGAACCATTTTTCCACGCAGAATCTGCTGCTGGATTCTGACTCCTAGTGACCAACCATCTAGCCCAGTGTTTCCCAAACCTATCTGATCCACAGAATGAGCAGATGGGCTTGCTTAAAATATCAATGCCAGGGTTCCTTCCCTGGAGAGTCTAATTCAGTGGGTACTATGTATTTTTAACAGTTGCTTAGAGTGATGTTCTGTGACTCAGTTTCCTTTCTAAAATGGAGATAATACTTGTCTCAGAGGGTCACTATTAGGATTAAGTCAGGAAATATATGTAGTGCTTATGACAAGAGTCTGGGAACATTCCACATATTGTACATTAGTATTTCAAAGATATTTTCCTGAATGGTCTGCTAATTTGTGTAGCCTAGTGGTCCCCAAACTATTCTGATAAGGATCATCCGGGAAGCCTCTCCCAAGGAAGTAGGTCTGTTCTGATGCCTGAGTGTCTCAAAACAAGCACTTCAGGTGATTCTTATCCTCAAAATACAGGTGTATCATAACATGGATAGAGACCTTTATCAGCTTTTGCCTCTCTAAACACACTCCCACTCCCATACTGCATATTAAAATACCTATGCTTGGCTCTGGCTGGTGTGGCTCAGTGTATTGAGCACCAGCCTGTGAACTGAAAGGTCATCGGTTTGATTCCCAGTCAGGGCACATGCCTGGGTTGTGGACTGGGTCCTTAGTTTGGGGTGTGAGAGAGGCAACTGGTTAATGTATCTCTCACACATTGATGTTTCTCTCCCTCTCTTCCCCTCTCTCTAAAAGTAAATAAAATCTTTAAAAAATATATTTAGAAAAAGAACAAAAAACTTCGTGCTTGGAGGTGTGTTACCTGAGCTGCAGATGAAGTCTTGAGAGGAGGCAAGATGTGGAAACTGTGTGTGTGTGTGTGGGGGGGGTGCTGCCTGACAGAGGGTTTCGTACTGGGGATCAGCCTGATCGTCAGCCCTGGCTCAGCCACCTGGCATGTATGTGGCCTTGGGTAAGTTAATGAACTTCTCTGGCCTGTTCCCTGTCATCACATCTGACCTCCACTTGGGGGCTTCTCTGAGGACTCGGTGGGATCTCAAGGCTGAGTAGGTGCTGATTTTAATAGAGGGGAGGAAGTCTGATACAAGTTCATGAGGAAAGGGAGAGAGAAGGGGTTGGGGAGAGACTGGAGGATGAAGTTGGGAATTGCATTTGGCAGTAGAATCAAAAGCACCTGATAGGTGGTGCAGGCTAGGAGCTAGGGGCTAGCTGGCCTGTTGTCTTCCTGACCTTTCTGGGCTGCCACAGACCTTGTGGCCTGTGGCTGGACTGAAGTATTAGTGTTTTTTGGTGGCAGACACTCTTGTCAATATTGGTGACCTTAAGGATGTTTATATTCCTTAGGGTTCTGTTTCTGCTACCACGAAAAGAGATTTGTCCGTCTGGGTTAAGAGTAGGGATGACTCTGAGACTTTCATAGAAAACTAAGGTGGTCCTCCTTTCCCAATTTTCCTCAGCCATTCCCTCCCCTCCCCTCCTCCACTTTAGCGGTAGGGTTGATGGGGAAAGCTGCTGCGCTGGGAAGGTGGAGCCGGGAGGAGCTTCATCGCTGAAACATCACCGGGTGGGTGAAACACAGGCACAGGTGCGCTCTCCCAATTACAATGACGGTCCCATTTCCTGGGTTCCACCATAGACTAAGTTCTGTGCTGAGGTCCGCGTGCATCGACTCACAGAATCCTATGAGGCAAGCGCTAAAACCCACTTTACAGAGGGGAAACCGGGGCCTGAGGTCACAGAGCGAGTAACGAGCAGGGAGATTCAAGGTCCATAGCCCTTACCCTGTCAGCTGCTGTATCTTACAGGATCTCCCCAACCATGGAGCCTAACCAAAGCCCCGGCCACGCCCACCCCCGCCGGGCGGAGTTTCCCTGCTGCCCCCTTCCCTGCCGTGCACGACAGGGCTCATCGACCCAGGGAAGTGGTTTGCGCTCCCTGAAAAGGCTTCAGTGAGCGCACTTGTAAAGTACTTGGCACAGCCCTCGCAGGTCTCAAGTGGCCACACTTAGTGCAATACAGGGAGGGACGAATCCCACCAACTCCCAAGCGACTCTTCCGCCCTGGTCGACAGAAGCCTCCATTTTATGCAAAACCCAGCTCGGGGAGCGTACTTAACCCCAGTGGCTGTCCTTAGAGTTGGGGTTTTGCCTACGCCCCAGCACCTGCTTCTATCCTTCCACCACTCCCTAGAAATTAACAGTCCACTTTCAGAGTGGGGGTCGCCGTCACTTCCACCATCGCTGTAGAAACCACTTTGCCAGCAAACTCAGGTTGCCCACAGGGGTGGGGGCCACTGGAGACTGGGAGGAAAGGGGATCCGGATGGAAGACCCGCTTCCGGCCAGCGGCCCCCTGCCTCCTGTTCCCTCCCCGTTGGACTCTCAAGGAAGGAGGGGGCTCCGACCAGGCCAGCGCTACTCCCTGACCGACCCTCCCCCCAGGCGCAGGGGCTCTCCACCTCCTCCCTCACCGGGGCATGGCTGTCGCAGCAGCTGGACAACGGTGACATTGGTGAGGACGATGTCGCGTTTCGACATGGCCCCTTAAGGTTTCATGGCCTAGCCACCCGGGGACCCGCCGCGATGTTACTGCGACGCAGGGCACCTAGGCTAGGGGCACCAGCTTCCTGCCGTGACGTCACTGGACTATGACATCACAGAGGCTGCCGAAGGGCACATCCCAGGGAGGCCTCTGCCATCTGCACGCTGTGCACCACCATTTCAAGGCCACAGCTGGTGTCTAGAATGGGATCCAACTTTTTACTCTGGTGCTCAAAGCCTTCTCCCCTCTCTCTCCCTAGACACACTGGCTCCGTGCTGTTCTTGACACACTCCACCCCTCATAGTTGTCCTAAATGTTCCTTTATGCCTGGAAGCCCTGCCAAAGACTTTCCTTACCTGGCTGCCTCTTGGTTTCCCCCAGGTGTTACCCTTTAAAAGAGGTCCTCCTGACTCCCTATCTAAAGTTCTCTCTCAGTCACTACCTGCCATCGCCCTCACCTCCTCAATGTATCCACCTTTCAGGAAGACTTGTCTGACTTCTCATCCTGGGTTATATGTTCCAATGTGCAAAACTACTTCAGGGTTACACTCGCTATTATTTTCATTTCCCTCACAGCATATGCCTGTCTCTAAAAAATCATCCTGTTTATTCGTTTACTAATTTTCTCTGCCCACTAGACCAAGCTCAGAGTGCTTGTCTAAGTCATCAGTTTTCTATCCCAATTGACTAGAAGAATGGCACTTAAAAGGTGCCCACTCAGTAAATAATACCAGAATGAATAAATAAGTGTCACCTCAGGTTTCTTCTGGTCCTCACTCTTAAAGCAGTCTCCAAGTCATATCCTCTCATAGAACCCCATTCTTGTGGCTTTTCATGTAGTTTGTAATATCTAGTTATGATTTACTTGTTCACTGTCTCTCCACAATTTTCTTCACCACAGGGCCTCTAGCACCTAGAACTGCATCTGACACAAAGCAAAGCTTGAATAAATATTTGAGGAGGAACAAATGGACAGACGGCTCCTTTCCCCTAAAGCACTGGGGGGTGGGAGTTTGCTTGCACAGACAGGCACCTCTACCTGCAGGGCCAGTTGACACAGCTATGACCAAGATTTAGGGGCGTGGGGGCTTGGGCCAGGAAGGAGTCACCATCCCAGAGAGAGGTGTGGAAGCAAGAAGGGGCACAATGACATAACTTCTTCCCCAGACTTCCATGAGAACTCAGTTTGCTAAGCACCTGTCATGGGACAGGGTGAGGGCGAGGCCTTCCTGCTTGGATGGCCTAGGAGAGGTGGAACTGAAACTAAATTGGGTGTACATACAGACGGGGAGATTTCAATCAACGAAGACTAAAAAAGGTAAGTAAACAAAGGGGGACAAACTTTACATGTATGATCAGGGCAGGGCAAGACCACACAAATAAAACCAGGACTTAAAAGGGACTGACTTTGTACCACTTTATAATGATAAATATGAAAAGCTCAATGAAATAAAAATATTTCTAAGAGAATACAAAGGATCAAAACTGGTACAAAAAGAAATAGCATATCTGAGTAGGACAATAATATGAGACAAAGAGTTAAGATCTGTTCCCAAGGCTGATTAAGATCCTGATTTATGGCAAAAACTGCCAAAACATCAGGAACAAGTATTTGCCAGTCCATAGAAGCACTGCAGATCCTGACCAGAGCTGGAAAGGCTGCGGCAGCTCCTGTCCAAAGAGGATCAGGACAGGGCATGTGCTCAGGGGCCCCGTAGATTGGCAAGCACACTGTGGTACCCTCATGGCAAACTTCTTGGGAGTGTTTTGGGGGAGCTGTGATGGCTCAGTGACTAAAAGCTCCTCGAGGACAGCAGCACAGCTATGCTACCAAAACCAGTGGAGGATGCCAGCGGATCACAGAGACAGATGCCAAAGTTCTGAACCCAACAGTAGTCAATGGAAATGGAGCACCAAGGAGACAGGCAGAGGCTGACAGATACGGTAGGATGGGGCAAAGAGACAGGTGGAAAGAGAAATGGAGAAATCGCACCTGTCAGCCTCAGGGAGGATTAGGATTCTGGAACTCCTCACCCAGCCTGGGAAACTCCCTCACTTAGGCACTGGATAGAGCAGAAAAGCCACACCTGAGGTTGCCCAGGGACTTGGCTTAGTCTCTGGAGTGTGAAACTGGGAGACAGATTTGGTGAGCTCAAGCGTGGAGAGATGGTACAATTAGTCACCCTCTACAGACAGAGCTCAGAGAAGGCAGAAACTACTCAGCCTCTGAATCTGGGATGCCTGCTTCTGGGTAAAGCCAAGTGTCCAGGATCCGGGTGGAACTCTGGGTCCTCCAAGGGGAGTGGGTCTTGTCCTTGTTTGAGCAAAGCCTGAAAACACGTGCAGATTCTCACCACACCTGGGCACCCACACACATAACTCTGCCACCCCTACTTGCTCACACCCTGCACATTCCTTCCTGCCTGGCCTTCCCACTAGCAATCCCACCTCCACCCCCTCTCTCAGTCTCTCCCCTTGGCACCAAAACCCAAATATCTTTCATCCCTGCACCCAACTGTACCCACCCACTGGCTCTTGTCCTTCTGATCTGTGCTTCCCTCTAAACTAGCTCCAGATAGATATTGTGCCACAGACGTACCATCCACCACCTGCCCTTCCTCCTGATGCCCCTCTTTACACCTAGGCCAAACTCTCAGCTGTTTTCCCCTCCAAACGATGCTGCCATGTCAACACTGGGCTTCAGGTGGGGACTTATGAGTCTCCAAGGGGCGGAGGTCAGGAAGAATGAGATCCTGGCCCCCAGCCCAGGTTCTTGCTGACAGTTTCCTGTTGCTCTGGGTCTTCAGCTCCTCCCCATGGCTGCCTCAACCGGCTTTTCAGGAGACACTGCGTCCTGTCCCAGCTCATGGCAATCAGCCCCCTGCCCTTGCCCAAGGGCTGGGAGGCAGGAGGCTAGGGTTCTGTGATGAGAATGTGATCTTGGCTTCAAAATCTACAACCCTCCCCAAGAGACCCTTGGCTGCCTTGGGGACCCAGGCACCCTCCCCCGACCCCTAGTCCCCAGCACCCTCTGAGACTCAGCCCCAAGCCTGGCCTATCTTTTCTAGGCTTCTTCTAATTCACCCATTTTTTCAATTTATAAATATTTGCTGAACTCCAGGCAATATTCTAGAGGTTGGGGATATAGCAGTAACCAATTGACAAAGGCCCTGTCCTCTGGATGTTTGTAATCTGATATGTGAGACAGACAATACAAAAGGTAATTTTGGATCATCGTAAGTGCTATAAAAAACAAAGGATATTACAGAGTATAATTGTAGATGACTAGGGAAGGTGTTTTGAGAAGGTAACATTTGAGCCAAAGACAGAATGAGGAGGAACCTGCTATGGTTTGAGATCTCAGTTCCACGTGTCAGAGGACAGCAAGTGCCAATGTCATGAGGCAGGAATGAGCTTGGTGTGTTTGAGGGCGAGGAAGAAGTCCTATGTGGCTGGAGCATTATAAGTAGTGGGACCAACAAGAAGAATGAGAACAAGGTCTGATGATTCTCTCAACTCTGAAAGTGCTCCCCTCCCCTGATTGCACCTCCCATCTTTCTAGAATCTCAGTGCTGGGAAGCTGGATCCTTGATGTCCTGAGAGTGAAGATGCTGAGGAACCAGGGATAGGGGGTGGTGGTTGGAGGTGGGGTTGGGAGAGAGGAGGCCTGGCTAGTGGGTGAGGAATGAAAAGAGGAGGTGGTTGGAAGGGCAGACATCTAGGCTCTGGGGTGGAGGGCCTGAGCTGGGCAAAGAGCAAAGATGCCATATGAGTATTCTCCATTCATGACTCACTCTGTCTTCCTCCTCCTTTTTATTGCTCAACCCCAAGTCTTCCTGGGAAATACCTCCTTGACTGGGGACCAAGTCAGTGCCTCACGGGGGTAACTGAGTCATGAGGGGTGGAGAAGAGGGAGGGAGGCAGAGGATAAATAGCAGCCTGGCTTCGCTCGTTCCTCTCTGCATCCTCTCCACCCTCCCAACAATATGCATCTTGCTAGTTTGGTCAGTTCCTGCTCCCTCCTACTGCTACTGGGGGCCCTGCCTGGATGGGCAGCCACTGATGACCCCCTTGAGAAGGTCATTGAAGGGATCAACCGAGGGCTGAGCAATGCAGAGAGAGAGGTGGGCAAGGCCCTGGAAGGCATCAATAATGGAATCACTCAAGCTGGAAGGGAAGTGGAGAAAGTTCTTAATGGACTTAGCAACATGGGGAGCCAGGCCGGCAAGGAGCTGGACAGGGGCGTCCAGGGGCTCAACCACGGCTTGGACAAGGTAGCCCATGGGATCAACAATGGCGTCGGACAAGCAGGAAAGGAAGCAGAGAAGCTTATCCATGGCGTGAACAATGCTGCTGGACAGGTTGGGAAGGAGGCAGACAAAGTGATTCAAGGGGTCCATCATGGGGTCAACCAGGCGGGAAGTGAGGCAGGAAGGTTTGGCCAGGGGCTCCACCATGCTGCTGGGCAGGCTGGGAATGAGGTAGGGAGGTTTGGCCAGGGGCTCCACCATGCTGCTGGGCAGGCTGGGAATGAGGTAGGGAGGTTTGGCCAGGGGCTCCACCATGCTGCTGGGCAGGCTGGGAAGGAGGCAGAAAAGTTTGGCCATGGGGTTCACCATGGGATTAATGAGGCTTGGAAAGAAGCAGAGAAGTTTGGCCAGGGGGTCCACCATGCTGCTGGGCAGGCTGGGAATGAGGTAGGGAGGTTTGGCCAGGGGCTCCACCATGCTGCTGGGCAGGCTGGGAAGGAGGCAGAAAAGTTTGGCCATGGGGTTCACCATGGGATTAATGAGGCTTGGAAAGAAGCAGAGAAGTTTGGCCAGGGGGTTCACCATGCTGCTGGGCAGGCTGGGAATGAGGTAGGGAGGTTTGGCCAGGGGGTTCACCATGCTGCTGGGCAGGCTGGGAATGAGGTAGGGAGGTTTGGCCAGGGGGTTCACCATGCTGCTGGGCAGGCTGGGAATGAGGTAGGGAGGTTTGGCCAGGGGCTCCACCATGCTGCTGGGCAGGCTGGGGATGAGGTAGGGAGGTTTGGCCAGGGGGTTCACCATGGCATTAATGAGGCCTGGAAGGAAGCAGAGAAGTTTGGCCAGGGGGTCCACCATGCTGCTGGGCAGGCTGGGAAGGAGGCAGAAAAGTTTGGCCATGGGGTTCACCATGGGATTAATGAGGCTTGGAAGGAGGCTGAGAAGTTTGGTCAGGGGGTCCAGAATGCTGCTGGGAAGGCTGGGAAAGATGGGGACAAAATAGTCCAAGGAGTCCAACCTGGGGTCAGCCAGGCTGGGAAGGAGGTGGAGCGATTTGGCCAGGGAATTCATTATGCTGCAGGGCAGGCTGGGAAAGAGGGAGACAAAATAGTCCAAGGAGCCCATCCTGGGGTCAGCCAGGCTGGGAAGGAGGTAGAGCAGTTTGGCCAAGGGGTCCATCATGGGATTAATGAGGCCTGGAATGAGGCAGAGAAATTTGGTCAGGGGGTCCACCATGCTGCAGGGCAGGCTGGGAAAGAGGGGGACAAAATAGTCCAAGGAGTCCAACCTGGGGTCAGCCAGGCTGGGAAGGAGGTGGAAAAACTTGGTCAGGGGGTCCACTATGCTGCTGGTCAGGCTGGGAAAGAGGGAGACAAAATAGTCCAAGGAGTCCATCCTGGGGTCAGCCAGGCTGGGAAGGAGGTAGAGCAGTTTGGCCATGGGGTCCACCATGGGATTAATGAGGCCTGGAAGGAGGCAGAGAAACTTGGTCAGGGGGTCCACTATGCTGCTGGGCAGGCTGGGAAAGAGGGGGACAAAGTGGTTCAAGGGACCCACAATGGAGTCAGCCAGGCTGGGAAGGAGGTGGAGCGATTTGGCCAGGGAGTTCACCATACCGTTGAACAGGCTGGAAAGGAGACAGACAAAGTGGTCCAAGGGTTCTACGAAGGGGCCAGCCAGGCTGGGAAGGAGGCAGAGAAATTTGGCCAAGGGGTCAACCACGCTGCTGGCCAGGCTGGAAAGGAAGCGGAGAAACTTGGCCAAGGTGTCCACCATGCTGCTGGCCAGGCTGGAAAGGAGGTGGACAGGTTGCAGCAGAATGTTCATAATGGGTTCAACCAAGACGGCAAGGAGGCCAACCAGCTGCTGAATGTAGGTGAACAGGGGTTGGGGAATGGGGAGAAGTGGGCTGGGGGAGGGAGAGGTTAAACGCTTGAGGTAGTTGGGACATCTAGGTAGCCTACACATGGTGAAAGAAGCTTAGGCAGCTATGTTATTGTGTCCCCCTTCTTCCTCTCCTTTACAAAGAAGCTGGTGGTTAGCTGGTCAGATGGATCAAGCCATCTTACCTGAAAGCTTTATACCAGACAGTGTGAGTGTGACCCAGCCCCACCTTCAGGGAGCTGCCCTCTTAGTTAAGGAGTTCTAGAGGGAGGAACAGGAAGCCTCTCCTGGGGGACAGGAAATGGTTGCTGAACCAAGATCTATTACAGTGGGAGCAGAGTGAGTGTTGAGAAAATGCAGAACATCAGAGTGTGAGCATGAGGAAAGCTTTAGAGATAAGCCCTTTTCTATTTAATTTGAGGTAGTCAGGGTAAGAAGGTTGACTTGACTCCCTAATTTTCAGATAAGGACACCTGAGCTTAGTGAGGTTTAAGGGGATTTGCCAAGGTCATGGGGCCAGCACACGTCTTTGGCAAATCTCAGGTCCAGGCTCTTTCTCTTCTTCCACACTACCCCATCAGAGCAGGGCTCCTGAAAGATTTCTGATCCCCATTTATGTAGAGGGAACAGACAATGGAGGGCAGGAGAAGTAAGCAGTGCTGTGCACAGCTGAACAGGCACCAAGGAGGGGGTTTGGCTATAGAAGGCTGACTACTGCCTGCCTCAACTCTCCACTCTTTAAATCTCCATGATGAATCTATGGGACACCCTCTTGAGGGCTGGCCCAGGCCTCAAAGCCCATAGCCACACTGGCTGCCAGGCAAATGAGCCCAGGATGGTGGGTAGGAAGGAAGAGGCTATGTAGAAAGTGTGTATGAAAGGGGAAAGGGGTCTGAGACAGATGGTAGGAGAAGGAGGTTTGTGGTAGGGCTCCAGGCTGCAGCACTGCTGAGTGTCTGGGATAGGATTAAAGATGGGGATCAACCCGAGTTAGGGATCATCAGGCTCATGTGTGTATAGAAGGGGTAGAGTTGAGGTCAGGGCTGAGGTTAACTATGGTCCTTGTATTTGGGTGGGTCCTCTGGCTTCCCTTTCTAGTCAGGCTTCTTTTCAGTGATTAAGAACATTTCATTAACTAAAATAAAAGGGAATTGGGGGAAGATTAGTCAGTAGAGGCAGATGTCCTTCCTGGCTTTTCTTCCCATCCCCCACAGAATAACCATGGCAACATGACCTTTGGGTTTCTTTCTGGACAGTGAGGGGGTAGGAGGTTAGTCATCCTAGAGGGCAGCAGGTAACTGGAGAAAAGGAACTTGGAAACCTTCAAGGGCTGATGGGTTGTAATGATGGTCTGGGTTTTGTCCACAGGGCGGTCATCCAGGCGGATCCACCGTCCATCACGGAGGGGGCGCAACCACAACATTAACATCTGGAGTAAGTCTCCTGAGCAAAGCATGGACTTGGAGGTGGGGGAGTGGAAGCCGTCCTAGGATGGTGGTGGGATGGGTGCTGGGTACTGACCCTCTTGTTCTTGAATTTCAGGCTTCGGTCAACAAGCCCTTCATCAACTTTCCAGCTCTGTGGAGGGTGAGTGGCCACATGGTTTCAGATTTCTCCTCTGTCTTGGGAGATATTTGTACACATCCTTACCATTGCCTATTCATGGATAACTTCACTGTGGACAGACTCTCAGGCTTTCAGAGAGCATCCAAACCATTTCCCAGCTCTGCTTATCCCTTTCTTTACCTGCTCCTTGCCCTTTGCATCCTGCTTTCATCTTTTGGATGCTTTTAATTCCCACTGAGGCAAACACAAGCTGGCAGAAAAGACCTCCAGGGGCACGTGTGCATCTGTGAGCCAGGGAGAGAGGGGTGGCTGAAACCATCCCCTCCATGTGCCCACCATCTCTCCTCATCATCTTCCCTATGACTCCTGGCTCCCTACTCTTTGTTAATCTTGGTGCTAACTTCCTTAAGATATTCCCCAGAACATAGGCAATTCCTGGCCAAAGTAGCCAGCCTCCCTCTTGTTTCCCTAGGGGCGGGAGGACATGAGGGCAGAAATCTCACTGCCCCTATGACTGCACACCCTGCATTCACTTCTTGTCTCCTCTTTTCCAGAGCGTCGCCGACATCATTCCCTAAACTGATTCCTGGCCTTGCTGAGAAGACTGACGTTCCTGTTGTCATATCAGCTGAAATGACGTGAAGGAGCTGGGGATGGGGGTGGGGGTAGATTTTGGGAGTACTTTAAGGGAATGATACTGAGATTTGTGAATAAATATGACACAACATACTCTCATCATGGTCCACATGCTCCCTAAGGAGGGCTGTGAGGGGGGAGGCTTGTTTTTTTTCTTCTTGCTTCTTTGCTGAATGAGCTGGGGGTCTGATGTACAGGATAGGTTAAGCTGCAGAATGCGGCTGCTCGGATCTGTGAAGGTGGTTATAGGACAAACCATGTTTCATTAGTTTCCCAAGTTTGTGATGAGCACTAGAAGGGGTGTCACACAGGGAAAGCCCCTCAGCACTCAGGCCAGCGGTGGGGCAAAGACCCCCGGTGGGGAGAGGGCAGGAACTCAGGGGGAGCCAAAGGGGGCAGCATCCTCATTCAGGAGATGTTGCACCAAAGCAATAACGATGATCACTTGGATTTATTATACAATTTAGGCCTGTTAGGCTCTCTGACAAGTACTTCACATGCATGACATCACTGAAGCCTCCCAACCACGCACTAAGTAAGAGGTACTGTTATTGCCTCATTTTATTGAGAAGCATGTAGAGGCTTGCACAGGTTAAGAAACATGACCAAGGTCACATAGTCAGTATTTGGATGGAGAAACAGCCTACGAGCTACAAGGGATATTCTGAAAACAAAGGGATCTTTCCTTGTTTGGCATCAGTAGCTATGGGAATTACTGAAGAAAGAGAGGGCACAGAGATACATTCGAGAGATCCTCTCACAGGGAGGACCAAAGGCTCAGAGGGAAGGCCAACTGATGGCACAAGGGAGAACTTCTTCACAAAGACAGGAATGGTGACTCAGGAGGCCCTGTTTTCAGATCTGTGGATGACTCAAAGCCCAGGGGAATCATCATAGCAGCTACTATATACTGAGCACTTACTAGGTCCTAGGGCCTGTGAGAAAAGCTGTTCATGCTCTGTAACTATTTAAACCTCCCCCAACCCAAAGGCAGAAGTGGTCTTATGGTCCCTATTGTATGGATGGGGAAGCAGAAGCTCAGAGGGACCAGGGCACTTGCATGGGGTAACCTATGAGAAAGCAGCAGGTCTTCGATTGCCAGAACCTAATCTTTCACGGCTGCCTCTGAAGTCTCCAGAGCACCTGCTAAGTGCTGGCCTGATGGCTGGGAGACCTGCATTCCAATCCAGACTGTGTGCCTGCAGGCAGCTTGCTTCCCTTCCAGGGGCCACAGTTGCCTCCTATATAAAGCAGGGACCGTGTGTCTGTAGGCGAGGACTATAAACATGCCTTCTAGCTTCAAAATTTCAGCAGTCGTGGGACCAAAAATAAAAGACAGTGTTCTTGCTCTTGGGTAATTTATAGGCTTCTTAAGGAGACAAGGCATATAAACAGAATATGAAAACAAATACAAGGCAATGAATGCAGCAGTAAGAACTAAATGATACTCCATGGAGGGGAGGTAAAAGTGATGTTCCTAACACTTTATATTCATTACATTTTTCCTTACCTATAGAATACCATCATTTTATCACTTATATTCCTTCTCTCCTCCTACAATATTTTATTTTGTAATATTTTATTATTTTGAAAATGTTTCTAACTCAGCACAAAGATGTAGAGCTTTAGTGTGGATACATGCATACCCACTATTTAGATTCCACCACTAACATTTTACTATGTTTGCTTTACCACACATCCATCCATTGCACACATCTCTGGATCTAGCCACATATCAAAACATTTTTTGATGTACTTCAAAGTAAATTTCAGACACCTGTTTCCTGCATTAAAAAATAAAGCATTCACTCATAGCACACATTATTGAAAGTCTACTCTGTGCTGGACACCATTTCATATGGATTGCAGGGCTCCCTCCTGAAAGGGGATATTCAAGGGAATCATTCTTTCATAAAAAGTAAGAGCTTTCATTGATTTTTATCTGTATTCACATTTTTGTAATGGATTTGCTCACCAAACAGGTATGGGATAAATCAATATTTACTGGAGTCAATCCTGGGAAGCTTTGGAAAAGAAGAGTGTAGTCAGTTTTGAAGAGTAAAATAGGCACAGGATATTCTTGCATTGAGTCCTCGCATGCTGTTCCCTCTGCTAGAAATATCCTCTATATGCCTTCCTTTTTAATTAAGGTATAGGTGACCATTTGGGACAACATGGATGGACCTAAAGAGTATTATGCTAAATGAAATGTCAGAAAGTGAAAAACAAATACTGTATGATTTCATTACATGTGGAATCTAAAAAGCAAAACAAATGAACAAACAAAACATAAACACATCTAGACACAAAGAATAAATCAATAGTTGCTAGAGGGGCAGGTGGTGGGGAATAGGTGAAAGAGGTAATGGAGAATTAGAGGTACAAACCTCTATGTCCCTTTTGCCTCTCATGTTCATTCCTCCTCGCCCGTCAGGCTTCAGCAATCTTGACCACTCAATCTGAACAAAGGGCCACCTTTTTTATTCTCTTTCATGGCACACTATTTTTTTTTTCTTCATAGAGCTTATGACAATTTGTAACTATATATTTACTTGTTTCATATCCATTTTCTCTCTAGATTAAGAGGTTCAAAAGGCGAGGTCGAGACCAGGCACAAATGGCTGGCAACTGGTAGAGGAGAGGCTTGAGCAGACCTGGGAAAGGCCTTGGAATAATTGTGAGCAAGAGTGAGGCACCTGAGACAGATAGGTGGAGTCAGGCTAGGGAGTAACGAAGATGGGAGGGGCCAGTTTCTGTGGATACAGAAGGACAGGGAGAGGGGTTTGGGTGGGACCACACAGCCATCTTTGTTCTGTGTTTACTATGCCTTTGCCAAGCACTTACAGACATTATTCACTCCATCCTCACAACCTCCCCATGAAGCAGGTACCATGATTATCCCCCTTACAAAGGATAAAGCTGAGGTTCAGAGGAGGGAAAGAGTTGCTGAGGCTAGCCAGCTGGTAAGTGGTGGCAGTGGGGCTCTCTCAAGAGCACTTCCCTGTTGGTGATCTCTGCTAGTGAGGTGGCATTCTTCCCTGGTACTTCTAGGCGGGGGGCCTACTTCAAAATAAACCCTCTTTAAAAATAAGTTTCTGCATTTGACCCTTTTAGGAGGTGTGTGTGCGTATGTCTCAAAATTAAACAATTGCCAAGAAAGGCTTCCAATGTTAATGTGCCCAACACTAGCAAGAACATAAGTTGAGTGCTCTGTGTTGCAGGTACTGCTCTAAGCTCTCTGAATTATTACCTCATTTAATCTTCACATTCACCCCTCTTACAGATAAGGAAACTGTTGTAGAGATGGATTAAAGTCATGGCTAGTAAGTAGTAGAGCTAGAATTTCAGCCATGACTCCAGAACAGGCACTGTGGATGAGGTAAGCCTGTAGATGCCAGTTTGAGACCTAGGACCCTATAGGAGGAAGCAGAGACACTGCCCATACCCAAGGCCTCATCTCCTCTCTATACTTGAGTCCAGCCTCCACACCCCTCCCAAGCCTCCTCCCTGATCTCTGTACTCTCCTCTTCTCAAAATAGTCTGTTCCCCAGAGGAATCCTGTTAACACCTGAGTCAGATCACAGCCTCTCTCTGTTCCAAGCCCTTGACTCGTTCCACCTCAGAATAAAAGTCAGTCTTCACAATGGTTACCTATTTCCGAAGTATATAAAGAACTCATACAACTCAACACCAAACAAAAAATCCATTAAAAAATGGTCAGAAGACCTGAACAGACATCTCTCCCAAGAGGACGTACAAATGGAAAACAGGTATATGAAAAGATGTTCAACTTCACTAGCTATTAGGGAAATGCAAATCAAAACTACAATGAGATGCCACTTCACACACCTGTTAGGATGGTGATTATCAACAACATAGGTAAATAACACTTGTTGGAGAGGTTGCAGAGAAAAAAGGAACCCTCCTTCACTGCTGGTGGGAATGTAAACTGGTATGGCCACTATGGAAAACAGTCTGGTGGTTCCTCAAAAAAAAAATAGAGAACAGCAATCCCTCTTCTGGGTACCTACCCAAAAAACTCAAAGACATTCTTTTGCAAAGATATATACACTGCTACGTTCATTGCAGCATTATTCGTGGTGTCTAAGACATGGAGACAATGAAAGTGTCTTTCGGTCGAGGATTGGATAAAGAGGACATAGTACATATATACATGGAATAGTGCTCAGCCATAAAAAAAGATAAAATACTGCCATTTGTAACAACATGGACGGACCTTGAGAATATTATTCTAAGCAAAATAAATCAGTCAGAACAAGCTAAGAACCATATGATTTCACTCGTATGTGGGATATAAAACTGAAACTCATAGATACAGACAACTGTATGGCGGTTACCAGAGGAAAGGGAGTGGGAGAATAGTGAAGGGTGAAGGGGGCCAAATCCACGGTGACAGAAGGTGACTTGACTTTGGGTGGTGGGCACACAGTGCAATATTCAGATCTAGTACCATATAAATGAACACTTGAAACGTATATGATCTTATTAACCAATGTCACTCCAATAAATTTAATTTAAAAATTGTCACCCCTTCAATTTCAGCTCCTCCCATTTCCTCCCTGCTCCAGCCTCGGAGCCTTTGCACTACCATTCTCTGTTGGAATACTCTATCCCCAGATATCCTCATGGCTCAGGCTCTCACTGTCTTTGGGTCTCAGTTCATAGATCAGATCACAAAGAGTTCTTTCTTGACCATCTGATTTAAAATACTCTTCTCTATTCCTTCACTCTACTGTGTTTTTCCTCACAGTGCCCATCACCCCTTTATGTTTACTGCCCAACTAACCCCACAATGAATGTGAGCTCCCTATGGAAAATTATTTTGATGATCTTGTCCCATGGGCTTTCCCCTGTGCCTAGAACAGGCATGGCACAGGGTAGGTAGTCAATAAATATTTGTTGAACGAATAAAGGTGTAAATTAGAGAGAAAAGTTAAAACCAGAGGGTCTTGAACATGATGTAGTCATGTCAGATTTGTAGATCCTGTCATGTACAAAACAAGGGAGGGTTGGTGATATAGGGAAAAAAGCTGTTTGGAGTCAGGCAGTCTTGGGTCAAATTCCGACAACTCCATTTTACCATAATCTTTTTTACATATGATCTTGTGTATGTGCTTAACATGTTAGGACTCAGTTACTTCATCTGTAAAATGAGAATAATATCTACTTCACGAAGATTAAATGAGATCACGCATGTGAAAGCACCCCATCTTCTTTTGGGTTCATGATGGGTACTTAATAACTATGCTTTAAAACTGATTTGAGGTGATTCCTCAGGTCCAGAGATGTCCAAGGGCAGTTTTTCTCCAAAGGTAGAACATAGGACTGCTGATGCCAGAGGAGAATTTAGGTGGTCTGTACACATGGTTTGAACCACACATTGAGAAACTCTTTTCTCAATTTCCTTTGAAGCTTTCTGATATGTTAAAAGGGAAGACTCAATTTCCATCCTGCTGTGCCTCGAACATCTCTCTCATACTTGCTAATTTCTCTTTTTAACAAAGAGGATGCAGGAACTGCAGCCATCTATAATGTAATACCACTGTATTACCATTGTAATACCATTTGCTTCTCTCTATGATTTCCTGATACTTTCTATTTATGGGCAAATGATTCTGGCTTTCTACTTCCAGCAGCAATATAAAATATTCTTAAAATATATTAAGAAAATAAGCTACCATAAAGAAAAACATTAGTAATGAGTACATGGCAACAGCTACATGCCATTGTGAAGGTGGTGTCCCATGAAGGAAGTGTGGGAAGGAGTCTTAGCAAATTCTTTGCCTGCTGCCCACAGTCTTGTCCTGGGGAAGTGGGAATAGGGTCTGGGGTCTCCATCACCAATCCTGGAGACCCCAGATTTATTTTCCCTGCCTATGCCCTCTGCCCTGCAACAAGGTGCTAGGGCAAAACCCAAACCGATTCTATCCAAAGAAGAATGAAGGCTTTGAAAAGTAGGGGGAGGTTTGAGACATTGAGATGACAGAAAATACTGGGGGTTGGGGCTTAGAAGTGAAAGCAGGCTGGGCTTGGGCTTTGGCTCTACCACACATTCACATGTGCTCTCTGAACCTCAAGTTCTCCATCTCTAAATGGGGTAATAATAAGACTGATCTCCAGGGCTATCTGAACCTTAAAGTGCTTAAAGTCCAGTGCTGGACACATATAAAGCCCTTGATAGATTGGGACTGCTGCTATTATTATTATTATTATTATTATTATTATTATTATTACCACCGCCATTTATTATCATCATTAGAGTCAGAGATGGAATAACAGGGAGGTAGGAGCTGCTGAGGACAGACAGGGATTGTGTTTACATGGTAAGAGGTATTGAATGTTACAAGTTAGGGTGTGGATGTTGGGGTGGAGAGAGAGACTGACTGGGAGACATTGAGAAAGGCAGATGGAAACTGGCCCCTCCTAACTGGGTGATGTATCACAGTGATACATGGCAGTGGCAAGTGGGAGGGCCTGGGGCTCCTGGGAGTATAGAGGCAGCCATGCTTGCTAAGCAGGGATGAGACCTGGGGAGAATGCCGGAGTTCTACATCCTGAGCTGGGACCCAAGAAAGCATCATGCTGCTGACCTAGGGCTCCTGCCCTTGTGCTAATCCTTGTCCCTTGCCAGTGCCCTCCTGGCCCCTGGGGGAGGCTAGGCGTTGGGTGGGGTGAGCTGGTACTATCCCAGCCCTCCTAAGAGGCCATGAACTCACACACATGTCCCCTCCATGATGGGTAAACAGGATGGCTGCCTGGGTCAACCACTCCCTCCCTAGGTCTTTCCCTCCTACTCATTCCCTGGGGGTGGCTGGCCCGCCCAGCTCCCCTGCTCCACACCCAGCTTTCTCAGCCAAGAGCGACCAGGATGCTAACTGAGACACTCTGATGACCACTCTCAGGGGCGTGACCACTTCCTTCCCAGATGCCTGGGGTCCCTACTGAGACCTGAGGCCAGTCTCACAGTTCCCAGGCTCTCTGTGGGCTGGAAGGTGTGGAAGAGGGGGAGAGCAATCAATCACCTTTAGGTGATAGCATGGGAGAGTAGAGAAATGGGAGAGGCAAAGACCAAAGGAAACTGAGAGAAAGGCCAAGAAAAGGCACCTGACTCCCATTCTGGTCCCCTCGACATAGGCTGGTTTACACCTAGGGTGGGGCCTATTCCACTGGGTTCCCTATCCTTGCCTCACTGGCAGGGCCCGGCCTGTGACTCCCCTCCACCTGCTGCCTCTAGGAGACACCAACAGCCTATCTCTCCAAATGCCCCCATCCCCACCCTGCGCCCCAAATTCCTTGGGTTGGGAAACTGGAACACTTTTGCACCCATCTCATTCCACTTCTCCCTCCCTCCCTGATGCACAGGCTCCCTCTCTGTTTCAACACAGACTCTGAGACTCACAATTACAGCTCATTACCTTATCGGTGGCTGGCCCTGAGTCACTGCGGGGAGGGACTGTGGGCTGCCCAGCCCTGTCACCTTCTCCCAAGCTATGTTATAAGGAGTAGTGACAGGGAGGAGGACTCTGGGAAGGCAGGGGAGTTGGGGAAAGGAGAGAGAAGGTTGTAGACCAAGAGGGAGGGAAAACAAGAAGTCAGAAGGAAGAAGAAAACAGAGGAGGGCACACGTACACAGAGGAAGATAAAGGGCCAATAGAAGGAAATTTGGGGGGGGAAGTGAGGCAGAGATGAAGTTACAGGGGTCCCTGGCCTGCCTCCTGCTGGCCCTGTATCTGGGCAGTGGGGAGGCTGGCCCATTGCTAAGTGGAGGGGCAAGTGCCGAAACAGGTATTGGGGAGGCCATTGGACACGGGGTGGGAGATGCCATTGGCCGTAGAATCGGGGAGGCCATTGGGCAAGGGGTTGGAGAGGTAGCCAGCTCTGGACTTAGGGAGGCCATGGGCCCAGGGATGGGTGATGCCTTTGGCCATAGGGTCGGGGAGGCCATCCGCCAGGGTGTTGAGGCAGCAGCCCATGCTCTTGGAGACACTGGGAGTGAGGCTGGCAGACAGGCTGAGAATATTATTCGGCATGGAATAGATGCTGCCCACAGCTCCTGGCAGGGGATGCCCAGCAACAACGGTGCTTGGGTGAGTGGCTGGAAGGAAGCTGGGTGTGGAAATGGGTGGCTGTGTGCAGCTGGGTTGAGAGTCTTGGGGATCAGTTGAAAGGATGAAGGAGTCTCTTATTTGTGACTGAAGCAGTTTCCTTCCATATTATGTATGATTTCTCTACCACTTTGGGGTCTCTTCCTATACCCTGCTCTGGCTCCTCTTCTAGTTGCTCTGTCTGCCCCTCCCCCCATCCCCATGACAGGGTGAGAAGGCCATACACTAAGTGGTCGCATGTTGTCCTTGCAGGGAACCAATGGCCAGCCTCCATCCAGAGGCCATGGCATCTTTGGTTCTCAGGGTGGCCTCGGATCCCACAGTCAGGGCAATCCTGAAGGTCCAGGGACTCCCTGGGGCCATGGACACTCTGCAGGCTCAGAGGGCAGCTTTGGAACCAACTCTCAGGGAAGCTCCTGGGGCCAGGGAGGCAATGGAGGACCATATGACTTGGGGACCAATGCTCAGGTAAAGTAAGCACTCCAGCCCTGATCCTGCAACGTTCCTCCCTCAAGTCCACACTCTCCATGCCTTCCCCATCCTTTGGATCCCACACTCAGTCTCACTCTCCCCGCAGGGAGCTGTAGCTCAACCTGGTTATGGCTCAATGAGGGGCAACAACAACCCAAATATAGAGGTAAGAGGAAGAGTCTGGGGAAGAAGCAGGTGTCTGGGTGTGTGTGACAGAAAGTGGGAGGGACAAAGAGGAAAGAAAGATGGGGAAGGCAGGGCTTGAGGTAAAAGGCAAGATTGGCCAGGGAAGAGACGGGCGGGCGTGGGCAAGAGACAAGAGAGAAGGGAATGTAAATCGGATGGGGATGGGGATGGGGATGGGGATGGGAAAGAAAGCCAAGCTGTAAGAGGAAGGAGTACCTGGCCTGTGGCAATGGCTCTAGCTGAAATCTCAAAACTCACCTACCCCCTTTCCTCTGCAGTGCACCAACGCCCCACCCTCTGGTTCAGGTGGAAGCTCTAGCAACTCTTGGGTAAGATGGGCACCCTGAGGCATTTGGCACAGGGAGAGCGCAGAGCGGGCAGGGATTGTGCCTGAGCAAGAGAGGAAGGGGACGGAGGAAAGCCGTGTTTGTGTTCTCATTTTTAGTCCTCGCTCTGTGTTCCTTCCCCTTAGGGAAGCAGCAGCAGCAGCGGCGGCGGCGGCGGCGGCGGCGGCGGCGGCTACGGCAACAACGGCGGCAGCGGCAGCGGCTACGGCAACAACGGCGGCGGCGGCAGCGGCAGCGGCAACAACGGCGGCGGCGGCAGCGGCTACGGCAACAACGGCGGCGGCGGCAGCGGCGGCGGCAACAACGGCGGCGGCGGCAGCGGCTACGGCAACAACGGCGGCGGCGGCAGCGGCAGCGGCAGCGGCAACAACGGCGGCGGCGGCAGGGGCAGCGGCAGCGGCAACAACGGCGGCAGCGGCAGCGGCAACAACGGCGGCAGCGGCGGCGGCAGCGGCAGCGGCAGCGGCAGCGGCAGCAGCAGTTCTGGAAGCAACTGGGTGAGTTCTGCTCCTTTGATGAAGGCACAGATGGGGCTGAGATCCCCGGTGGTCCCTGCTGAGGAGACACACTCCCAGGTCTTCCTGCATTCTTCCAGCCCTGGCGTAGGTGGTGTGGGTAGTATCGCTGGCAGTTGTCATCCTGTGGCTCCTTCAGCTTCTGTTCCCCACCTTCCCAGCCCAGCAAACAGGGTTCCTTAGATACGCACTCCAATCTTTCCAGAAGAGGTACCTTCCCTACTTTTGCTCACTCTCTTCCTTATCTCTGCTCCATCATGGTGGAGATTGTCTGCTGTCACCCTATTCCTGCAGTCGTGGCAGCTTGGCAAATCTGACTACGGCTGGGGATGACAAAAGGAAGAATAGAAGTGGGAACAGAAAAACATAGCACTTGTTAGGGAAGTTCCCGGAAGGATGGGGGCGAGCCCACACACGTGGAGACTTAAGGGCATTTACAGAGCTGTGGCATAGATGAGCTAATAAATACAGCGCACACCTGAAGCCCCTCCACGGCAGATGAAAACGCCAGGAGGGGACCACAACCTGGCAGCCAAATTATGGGGAAGCTCCAAGAGGGGCCTGCAGAGAGCCAGCGCGGGTGGCTTCCTTGGGGGTCTGAGAAAGGTGTCAGGCAAGGGGGTGGGGGGAAGCAATAGAACAAGCCAAGTAACATAACTGCTTTAATTCACTGCTCCTTGTGCTACCTGCTTTTACCCCATCTAAGAGCAACCCTTAGGAAAGTGTAGGAAGTTTGATCAGGCTCCCTTCTAGTGGTCCTTCCCCCGTTCCTAGGTCCAGGAGAGAGTGAGGGGAGAGGAGACACAGGGGCAGGGCAGAAGGAGCCTCAGCCTGCCCTCAGGGCCCAGGGTCATGGCTTTTGTGAAGTTACGCTCCAGGGGCCTTTCACCCTTGGCATGCAGTGAGAAGTGGGGAACGACTGCTCAGAATTGGCAAATTATCCCACATTTCCAAATACACTTGGCCACACCTGGCCATCTCTGTGCTCCCAAAACCTTCCCTTAGTGAGTGACTGGCTGAAGAGGGGAAGGTATGGAGGTTGGGGAGAGGAGGTTAGAAACAAAACAAAACATGGCTGGAACTCTTTGGTCCCTTCCAAGTCCTTTTAAGACACCAAATGGACTCTTGCTTTCTCTTGTAGGAAGACAATACCAGCTCTTCCTCAGGCAGCAGTGGAGGAAGTGGAAATAAACCCGGCGTGAGTGTCTAGTGTTCACACCTGCACAGATTCCCTCAAACTGTGGGAAGGAAAATAAGAGGCCCATCAAATGATAGGACAGCACAGCTGGGACGGAGGATGGGGGTGGACTGCTGCTGAGGTGGGGCTGAGGTGGGTGAGCCTTGGGGTTAAAAAGCTGGTCTGAAGGCCAGAATTGGTGTCGGGGTGGGGACCTAGAGCAAGTTTTCTCTTTCTCTGTCCCACAGTGTGACAACCCAGGGAACGAAGTCCGAGTGTCTGGGGGATCTGGGGGTCAGGTGAGAGACAAACTTGTCATTATGTCAGTTCATCATGGCAGCTGCCCGTCCCTCCTAACTCACCTCTGCTCAGCCCCACTCCTAACACTAACCTCCCTCCCCCGCTCCCTTCTTGGGGGGAATTTACAATTTAGGGGGAGAAGCCCAGCACATAAAATTTCTAACAATCTCCAAAGTAATAATTAATTGTAAATTCTATGTAAGTACCCCACTTTATGCCACAGATGGGGCTTTGAAAAATTGTATAAAAACCAGTCCTTTTAGAAATGTAATCATTTCAAATGACCTATTCCTGGCCAGTGAACAGAATTCAGTGACCCCTTTGACATAAGTTTAAATTCATACATTCCCTTCCTGGTTATTCTGGAAACTCAGCCTTTCTGTCAGTACCTGCAACACTGACAGAGGAAGTGTTACACTAATGTCCACACAGGAATCGCCTAGAGGTCTTACGCAAAGGCGGGTTCTGATTCAGCAGCTCTGGGGTGGGGCTGAGATTCTGGTTTCTAACAAGGTCTGGGTGAGTTTGCTGCTGCTGCTGCTGCTCTGTGCCTTGGCGTGAGAGCTGTCTGCAGGGTGAGGACCATGGCCCTGTACTGTATGTCAAAAGGCTCTCTGAAGAGCTCCTAAAATATTGGGGATACTCATCTTTTATGGATAAATAAGTTTTAAGAAAACTTCTCCCATTTTGTAACTATTTTTAGGTTTTAACATACCAAAATCTCTTTTTCTATGGTTTCTGCTTTTGAAAATAAAGGTCTTTATTTTCTTCTAGCATTACCAATACTTATGTAATTTCATTTTTAAATTTAACTCTTGAATCCACCTGGGCTTTACTTGGTTGCATACTGTCTAGTCCCATTCCTCAATCCAACTGGGCAGACCCTACATTTTGGATGCTCCCTCATGAGGGAAAAACCAGATAGAAACAGAAGGGAGGAAACTGGTAAGTTTGACTGAAAAAACTTAACTGGTATTCCAGCCCTGTGTACTGAATCATTTCCACTACTGATTTAAAATATCACTTATAAATACCTTAATATTTGAGGAGAGCTTCTGGGAGCTCAGAGCTTCTATTTTGTTAAATTGATTCATCTGCTCTGAGACAGGAACCACACTGCTTCATTTATGGTACTTTGTAGTGCACTCACATCTGCCAATAGAAGTCCTGCCTTGCTGCTTATCTTTTCCAGTGTTTTCCTACACATTATTAGACATTTATTCTTCCAAATGAACTTCAAGATGATTTTGACAAGTTCCAAAAGAAAGTTCCATTAGGATTTTCAGAGGAATTGTATTAAATCATACATAAATTTGCAGGGATGGACCTAGGATCTAAAACAATGTTCTGTGTTTTACTGCCTTGTCCCTCAGGGCTTCAGAGGACAGGGAGGCCCCAGAGGATCTGGTGACATCAGGGTAAGGAGATGACATGTCTTGAATAGGGATTGTGGCAACAGTGAGTGGGAGTGGAGGTCAATGATCCAGCAGGAACACTAACAGAGCAGATAGTCCCAAGTCCTGGCTTGGCCCAGATTTTACCTATGGGAATGAAGAGGTGTTGAGGGCTGGGATCTACACCAAACAGTGAAAGCAGGACTCTAGAGGAGCCAACCTCTACACTGGAGGAAACTAGGCAGACTCCTTCCGTGCTACCTCCGCTCCCCTGGCTCTCCAGCTAGCCTCACCTTTCTGGCAAATGCAAGCCATCAGCCCAGACTGGTCCTGCCGTTTGAATCAATTCAGTACAACAGCCTGGCTAGTTCCTGCTTCAATTCTGGGTGTGCGGGGGGGCGGAATTCTTTGGTGGCAAATGCCTTTCCTATCGAATTTTGGACAGCCTGTAGACATGGATAGAAACAAAGGTGATTGTGGTACTAATGAGCATTATAAGTGAGCAATAACCTGATCCATAAAGGGGAGAAACAAAATTTGCCAGGGAAGATGGAGCTACCCAGAGAGAAGAGCCTCTCTCAGGGTCTTGGGAAATCCTCAGTCGTATTCCTGCTTCAGTCCCCTCATTCAGGAATCATTTGCCTACATCTCACCCCACATCCTACCTGCTTCCCTGCCAACTCTTCTCCATTTTCTCCCTCCCCAGGAAATAAGCAAGGAGGGCAGCCACCTCTTTGGGGGCATCCAAGGCAATTATCAGGTGAGCAGGAATGGCTTTAGGAGAAGGGATGGTGGAGTGTGGGGATAGAGTGCAAAAAGCCTGGAAAATGGAAAAGAAATATCAGTTTCTTCTTGCCAGCTGCTCTGAATCCATCTCGGATGACTGCCACGAGACCAAACAGGGGCCTGGGAGCCCCATGATCCTCCATGACTCATCTGTTCTCCCTCTTCCAGCTGCAGCCACAGCTGTATTACCTCTGTGAGGGGAAAAGCAGACAAAAATAACAGAAGAATGGCCAAGGGGATATTTTTTAAAAGCATACCTAAGAAGATAGTGTTGAGAAACAGAAAAGAGGTGGACTTTGAGTTAGAAATGAGAGTTCCAACACCAGCTGGGTCACTTGTCATAGGTGCATCCTCAGGCATGTCAGTTGACCTCTGTGAGCCTTGCCTTCCTCTTGGGTAAAACGGGGCCAGTGAAGCCTAACTTCCTCATCCCCACAGTTCCTGCAGAGTTTTCTGCATCATAGTCCCACCAGAGGGGTTCAGGGTCCGACATGGCGACAGATGCTGGGGTAAGCTGCTGGGCAGCTCTAAGTTTCTTTTTCCTCATCTGAAAAATGGAGATATTCTACAAAGGAACACGGCAGGCTAAGGCACAGGGCTTGGCCAGTAGTAGGACTATACACTGGGGAGCAGGGAGGATTATTCTAGGAAGCAAATAATGAGTAATTATAGGAAGACTTACTGGAGGTATGGTTCTTAGGTGCTGGGTAAAGAAGAAGAGAGATAGCTTTACAGAGGGTACACGGTGCCCAAGCAAACGCAAAGATGAGTGGGCCAGGAGCAAGCTGATGGGTGCTATGCACGACAAAGTGCATAAGCCTTGAATATTAAGTCCCTTTTTTCACCCATCCAGGGACAAGGGTCCAGTCGAGGCAGTGAAGCTGTCAGTGGAATCAATAACTTGGTGAGTGGAGGCATCACCCTACTTTGGGCTGGGACCCTCCAGACACCCATAGCTCCTGTCCCTGCCTCTTGTTCACAAAATGGGTTCTTAATCTCATTCCATTTGTCTTTGGTTCCTTAGAACTCTCAGACATCTCCTGGGCTCTTTGACTTCGACACTTTCTGGAAGGTGAGTTCAGCAAGAGTGCTCTGCTCATTCCTTTTTTGAAAACCAAAACCCTGTCCCTTGTTCTCACAGGATGAAATCTTTCTATAACAACTATCAGTGGTGACCCTTGACCTCTTTCATCCAATTTAGCCAGTGTCATTTTTTTCCCCCTGCAGAACTTTAAATCCAAGCTGGGTTTCATTAACTGGGACGCAATAAACCAGGTAAGAGCTGGAAGGCAATGTGGGGCAGGGGGGGCACTAAAGTGAGTGCTTGCAGATAGACAGGATTCATTTGAGGTGGCTTCTTGGAGGAGCAGATATCAGAAGAGGGGCAGAGAAGAGAATGGTGAGCTCCATCTCCTTCACAGTCAGGGGCGAGGAGCTAAGGACTTCCTCCAGAGTGAGGAGTGAAGACAGGGGGACTATACATAACATTCCTGACAAGGTGTGGGGGTTTTCAAGCCCAAGCTGGAATATCTGGATTTGACTGGATGATAACTGTAGGCAAAAAGTCCCTGAAGATTCCTGGAGCAGGGGTCTAAGCTAACCTTGACGTGGTCCGTTACTCCCTGAAGTTCTGTTCCTTGAGTTCCCTCTTAGAACCTATTTCTTTGCCCAGGATGAGAGGAGCTTTCCCGTTCCGTTACCTCCAGACAAGGAGCTACCAAACGGGTGGGAGTCCCCCACCCCTTCTTAAAACAACACTATCTCACTACTAATTTCGATCTTTGCCCTTGAAATAAACCTTGGCTGCCCCACACTCCTGTCTCTGCTCCTTTTTTATATCTCCACTGTTATCCCAGGGGGCCTTGGAAGTGGTGACTTCAGCCCCACAGCTTTGGGAAATGGGCTGGAGGTGGCATGGCAGGTGAAAAGGCAGGAAGCTCTGAGAGCAGGTCTTGGTCCTGAGGTTTTGCTGCAGTTAGGTTCAGCCAGAGGATGGGGCATGGGATAGAGAAGAACACGGTGCATATGCTAGGGATGGGAAAACAATGGATGGCTCCATAGATCTAGCTTCTCTCTTCTTCTGCTGGCAAAAATAGTTTTCTAGACCCTACAGACACCAAGCTTCCCCCCAAAACTTGGTTGCAGTGCAATTCTGAAAAATGGTGGGAGCAGGAGTAGAGGCTTAGGTGATCAAGGGGTCAGGCTCCCTGCTAACCTGCTTCCCACTTTTCATTCACAGGGCCAAGTCCCATCTCCCAGCACTCGAGCCCTCCTTTACTTCAGCCGACTTTGGGAGGTAGGACAAGCCTCACTTTTTGAGGAACTGGCATCCTGGTCATCTTGTCCCTCTCTCTACCTCCCTCAAGGCAGCCAACCCCCAGCTTGAACCTACCTTTCACAAAATTCCCCCTCTTTTTATTTTTGAGATGGGTAATCTCACCCAAATCTTATCACTAAAAATTCTAACACCCTTAATAAGCTTATCTTCATATACCCCTCAACCACACCCAGGCTCCTAAACCCATTCTTGTATGTGGTCTAGAAACTCTCCCAGTGAGCTGCTGCACTCCACCCTCTGCATTCTGCCTCCCTGTGGCCCACTCATCTCTCCTTCTTCCCCTAGGATTTCAAACACAAAACTCCTTTCTTGAACTGGAAAGCAATTATTGAGGTAAGGGTGGCAGAACCTCTTGTTTTGGGGTCAGGAAGCTCAGCCCTGGAGAGGTGGGGTTCTGGGCTCTTGGCAGTGTCTTGCAGATTCTGTCCTAGTTACTTGCTCTCTCTGCTGAGGGAGGGTACCTCCCTCCTTCCCACTTTCCTTTATGCAACGCTGAGTGGGAGTGGGGTGGGAGGGAGAAGCTGTGAGTCACTGAAGAAGGAGCAGGGTGGCAGGTCCTCCCTAGGATAAAAACCGAGGCTGAGGGTTGGGGCCCTGAAAGGCACAGAAGCATGAAGCTGACTACTCTCTCCACTCTGCTGCTGCTCCTGCTGGGCATGGCCCAGCTCGGAGGGAGCCACCGCTGGGTGGGTACTGCAAGGTGAGCAGGCGGCAGGGACCATGAGGTGAGGAAGGACCTCAGAACTGGAAAGGGGGACACTAGGGAGGAAAGCTGAAGGGAAATAGGTGTGGGGGGAGGGGTCAGGTCATTGTCAAGTGAAGGAAGGTGCACAGGGTCTGAATATCTGGGTTCTGGGGAGGATGGGCAGGACCTCTGGGTTTTCCACAAAGCCATGCCTCGATTCTGCATGGTTGGCGGCCTTTGGGCATCAGATCCCTTAGGCACTGAGGCAAGGGTGGCCCGCTCACTCATCCACACGGGACAGGCATCTAGGGCCAGACAGATGGGGCCATGCAAAGAAGAAGGCCAAGGCCTTCCAGCTGATTGTTGTCATGTACCAGTGTGGCCACGTCACCTGATTCTTCAAGAAAAGTTAGAAATTTGATTTTGAATTGCTCACAGTTAAATTAATTTTAAAAATGCAAACCAAGTAAAAAAAATGTCTGGAGGCCTGTGGTCAACCAGTTTGTGACCTCAGTCATAGGGCTAATAGTGGGGTTAGCATTCAGTGTCAGGTGAGGAAAAGGCAGCGGGTTACGTCAGAGTTAAGGAGAACATCCTAACCCTGTGTGTACGAGAGGCAGTGGTGACCGGGCTCATGTAGAGAAGTGATGATGGAAGAAACTTAACTTCTCTCCCACTGCTTAGAAACTTCCCCTTGCCTCAGCTGGGGGAGCGGAGGGGGCAAGTGCATCTACAGTGTGTCTTAAGGACACACATCTGCATCTGCTTCCTTGTATTTCTCTCTTTTCTTTCTCTTCGACCCTGAGGTAACGTTATACACTTCACTTTGCCTCTGCAGGAACAGCATTTGTGAACAGGGATAAAAGGGCCTGTGAGGGAAGAGGGGTTTGGGGTCAGCAAAAAGTGGGCTGGGGCTGAAGGGCCTGTGTGGGGACCTCACATTTGCCATTCTAGCTTGGTCTCAGGCCAGGCTGCCAACGTTCCTGGTGCCTGGGTGGGGATGGTCTTGCTAACCTGCACTGTGTGTGGGAATCTGCCTGTATCTATCTGGGCCATCGGTTTCCTCTAGGCTCACTGTCTTCTCTGTAGGCAGCACTTATGGACCCCTGAGAGGGGCGGGGTGCGGCGGGTGGGATGCTGGTGCTCTGAGTGGAGGGCAGAGCTTAGGCAGCAGGATGTTGGAGTCCCAAAACTCTGGCAAGGCCCGAAGGACCATGGAGACACCTGAACGGTGGCCCCCTCTTCCCTACAGGGTGCCAGTCCATCATCACCACTGCAGAGGAGGGCAGGCAGTGCTGGCGAGGTAAGTCTCCACCCTCAGACCGATTCTGGAGGCCCTTTGTCCCTCTCAGTCTTGTTTCTGAGTCTGGCCAATCTGAAATTCTCCTCCTTCACTCCTCTGCTCTGTAATTTTCTCAGCCTGGTGCAGGATGGCCAGAGGTACCACCTGTAACTTCCAAGGTAAGCTATCTGACATGTGACTGCCTGATTTAAACTTCACTTCTTTCCTTGGTCTCCTTCCCTCACCTCCCATGTAACACTTGAGTTGGGAGAGGGAAGGAGACAGAGCCATTTGGGCTAGGACCGTAAAGAAGTGAGGGTGTGGGCTGTGGGTGGCTGAAGGAGATTCTAGGAAACACATGGCACTGGGAAGGGAGAAGGCAGGGGTTTTGAGAAATGTCCAGCCAGGACAGGGAGGTGGGGTGTCTATTCCAGAGCAAAATGCTTTCATTCCTCCTGTGCTGCCTTACCCCCACCCACTACCCACTGCCCTCTACTTTATTCTACAGAACTACAACTATAACCAGCAGGCATATCCTACCCCTTCTAGTGGGCAGTACTCAGCCAAGACCCCCGCTAAGGTAAGACTTTCAATTGTCCTGTTTTCCCACTGGGATCTCTTCATGGAAGGGAGGGGGGAAGTTTTCCCTGCCAAGGTCCTCTATGTGAGTTAGTTAGAAGTTTCAAGGCTCTTCACACCCACACTCAACAAAGGTTACAAGAAAGCAGTGCCTACATCATGGAGAAAACAGCGAACCACTCCTCTCTGAAAGAGAAATATGCTCCTCAGAAAAACCACGTGAAACATGGCAGAACAAACAGCCTTCCTTTGTAGTATCCGCTCTCTACCTCTTTAACTGCTGACCTTCTGGGGGTGCTGAGGGTAGAGGGAGAGGAGGATCGGTGAGGCTAGCCCAGGAACTCTTGGTTGGTGGGAAATAAATGCTTCATTCCACAAAGGAAATAAAAGGAAAGACATTTGAGAATTTTGTTGCATTCAATTGCAAAGAAAGCAATCTTATAAATTTAGTAAATAAATGTGCCAAATACTAATTGGGCAGGTGAAGCAAACAGGTGGTATTTCCCTCCACCTCTCAAAACAATAAAGCCCTGCCCTTGCGGAGAGCCCTTCCACTGAGAGACCAGAAACTCTCTGCTCACCGGCGAAGAGGTTCATACTACCTCTGGATACTGTGGGTATCCACTTCGCCAATTATTTGTGGTCAATTTCCATCTGCCTTGTAGGCAGAGGGAGACCTACCTATTCTCGTTCACTCCCTGTGGACAGTGTGTATTAAGGGATCACGTTCATATCATCTTGGGTAAAATGTATTTAGGATGATAAGTACTGTTGTGAAAAAAATTCCATGGGCTGACTGTCGACGGTCATTGAGATAACCTGGTCTGAGACTGCGCCTTCCAATGGGCCCTTCCTGAGCTCTAAGGACATGGCAGAGTCCAGAGAGGTTACTGTAGTCTCCACATCACCTACTCTGATCTTCTCTTTACAGGGGGGAGTCACGCTTTCTTCCTCGGTAAGTACTGGGGCAAAGAAAATTCACCTTGTGAGAGAAGGGGCTTGAGGCCAGAGGTTATGCAGGGGACAGTGTGATGTCTTCTCAGACATTCTCCCTGTCCTGCAGGCTTCCCGGGCGCAACCTGGCCTGCTGCAGTGGGTGAAGTTTTGGTAGGTGAGTGTTAGAGTGAGTCCTGCTCAGCTGCACCCAGGATTCGAGGCATGGTCACCGAGGGGCAAGGCTGGGGTCATGGTATTTCCTTTGCTTGGAGTGGATGCTCTAAAGGTACTGAGGAGGTGAACCCAGTGTGGGGTTGTGGAGAGAAATTCAGAAGATGTGACCTACTCAGAAAGCACCTGAGTGCTGAGTGAAGGCCTGATGGAGTGGGACTGGTAGGAGATGCAAGGACAGGTAGGAGAAGGAGAAGAATGGCATACTAGGTTAAGGAGAGGGACAGGGATAGGAATTGTGCAGGGAAACTGTAGAGAGGTTAGCCTTTCAGGTGTAAAGGGCCAGAGGCAGGGAGAAGAAGTGAGTCTCAGTTGGGGGAGAGAGGTAATAAGTTAACTTGGCAGAACGACACGACCTACTTTAGGGGATAGCACAGGTGAGGGGATGGCTGGGGAACAGGTAAGACATGGAGAAACTGTAAGAGTGAAGAAACTGGATGAAAGGATACCTGGTTTCAACTTATTTGGGAGTAGTCACATTCTAACATTGGCTCTTTTCTTCTCTTCTAGAAAAATACCTCCCGTCATGCCTGAGGCCCTGAAAAACTTCAGTCATCAAGGAGCCCGACTGAGCTCTTCCCTCAGCTCTCCCTCTGTGCCAGGCTTGGTCTAGGTGTCGACACCTGTGCTTTCTAAGTTGGGGACCTGGTCTGTCTGTCCCTTGTTTCTTTCCACTCCATGTGGTGTCTCCTTGACCGCCAGCCTCATTGAATAAACCAGCCACTTTCTCTATCTACTCCATTTGTGACCTGAAGTCACTGACAATCCTTCAGGAAAAGCTTCCCACTTTTGAATTTCTCTGTGGAAATAAAACATGAATCTTGTTTCTCTAAGATTTCTTTACTACCATACTGACGGCCTGGATCCGGGAGGGTGGCAAAGTGATTTAGGGCCGGATAGTCTGCCTTCCTCCTGAGACTGACAAGCAACACGGCAGACTGAGCGAGAGAAGACCGGAGTAGTCCTGACAAGAAGGAGCTAGCGTATCCCCCTGCGCCTCAGTTTCCCCATCTGTAGAAAATGACCTTTGCCCGACCTATATCTGAAAGCCATGTGTACTGCCCTTGGAGCAGCCATAGGTGTTTTGCTAGCCTGAAAAAATCAATGAGGGGGCTATTCAAATCAGGAAGTAGGAGTAAAGAGCCTGTTCGAAGGGAGGAGAAAAGTCCCAGAGGGTCAGGTAGAGGGCAAGAACAAGAGCAAGGGGTGGGTACAGACTGTGCCTTAGCCTTGTAAATGCTCTGAATGGTGGATGAAGGGACAGTTGGGTTGACATGGTTAGGAAGATGGGGAGGGAAGTGGCTCATACTGAGCATCTTCTCACATGCAGTGGCCCTGTGTGTCTCCAGGATCCAGCGGGGCAGCAGAGTTGTACTCCGCCAGTGCACCAATGAGACAGGCAGAAGCTCTGGGCACAGGCTGAGTCCAGGCTTACTGTAAGCCCAGGAGCCCTGAACACAGGGCCTGAGAGTCTCCACTTAGAGCCTCTGAGCCAAAGTCCCATTAAGGCCATACTCTGTGTCCAAATTAAGGAGCCCCATCAGTCAACCCTGACATCCCTGCAGGGACACAGGAAGTAAAAGGACATAAAACACCCTGCTAGCCCAAGTGACTTTCTCTGAGACTGCAAGTTTTCTGAGGGTGTGACCTGCCTGACTTGGTCACTGTTCCAACCTCAGTGCATAGCACAGGGTCTGGCACAGTGTAAGGCAGGCCTCAAATCTTGATAAATAAATGAAAGAAACCATGTCTAAAATGGACTTTGGGAAACTGACCAGATGAAATCCATCTGACTGGGAGAAAGGGGAGGACTACTTCTCTCCGCGTCCTCTTCTCACTGACGTCCCTGAATGAGGCTATTGCTTTGTACAATGTCTTACGTTTCAAGTGTACAAGAACAGTCTTGCAGCACCTCCTTGTGGCCACAGAGGGGAGAACACAGCTGTCCCGGGGCCAACACTCAATCCTTCCAGGTGACTGAAGGGTGACTCAATCCTTTGTGTAGTGTGGGTGCTATTTCAGAACTGGCTGAAACTCAGATCTCCTGGAGTCAGTCCCTAAGGGACTGAAGGAGAAGCTGAAGTTCTCAACATGGCTCTGGACTCTTGGGTCTGAAAGTAGCTGTTTAAAGTACCACCTGAAGCAGGCTAAGGCCCTCTTGCATAAAGGACTTTCTCCTGCTTAGACCTCTGAAGCAACTTCTCAGAGTCCTTTCATTTTTCCCCCCCTAAAATCCATTCTCTCATGACAGCCAAGTAGGACCCCCTGCTCAGAATCCTCTGTGAGCTTTTCACTAGCCCTAGAATAAAATCCCAGCTCCTCACCATGGCTCAGGAATATCTGGCCCTGGCCTCCCTCTCCAATGTCATCCTGGGCCTGCTGGGAAGGACCCTTGGGGAACACTGCTGTCATCTGCTTCTGGGACCCAAAATATTCAGAAGTTTGGAGCTTTAGGTCTCAATTCAAATGTCCTTCGCCAAATCCTACATAATCACTCTCACACCACCCTATTTTAACTTCTTCACAGAATTTGTCATTCTCTGAAATTATCTTGTTTTCTAATTTTTTGTTAGATTATGATCTGTTTCTTCCATCAGAACATAAGCTCCGCAGAACAGGTACCATGTCCATCTTCAATTCCCAGCCCTAAGAACCAAAGTGGCTTTTGATAAATATTCATGAATTAGAGAATGAAATGAGAGAGCAGAACTAAGTTTGATCAGTACAGGAAGTCTTTCTGAGAAGAGTTTAAGCAAAAGGTACACAGGGACAGAAGATAGGCAGCAAAGGAATAAACCAGACCTGTTGGGCAAGGTGACTGCTTTCTTGGGTGTGATAATAACACTGGCAGAGGGTGGGGAGGATGGGACAGGGACACCCTGAGCTCTGACTCCCAGTACCCCACATACCCAATACTCCACATCCTGGCCCCCTTTCTCTCCAAGCCTTGTCACCTGCGTGTTCACCAAGGCCCCGATGCCCCAGCGAGCATGGCTTCAAATCCCCCATTCCTTCCCTGAACCCAGGAGGCCAGCTTCTAACCCCGAGGTGTGCTTGTAACGTAGCAATCAGGGCTGGCCCTCACTTTCTACCCACACTCAAGTTCTGACAGACCTGTGGTGGGGTAGGGGCAGGCCTGGGGGAAAACAGGGGTTTACTGGTATGCTTGGAAAGGGAACTAGGAGATCAACCAGACTTGGAAATGGGTTTATGCCGAGCCAGCTCTGTGGCTCTGCTTGACCAGTAACCTGAGGTGACGTATCCAAGGAAATGCTGAACCCCAGGCTGATTCTCCTGCCAGCCATTACCCAAACTTCTGGGACCCTCTCCCAGGGAGAATCCTCCTACCTGCCCAACCACTGGCCACTGGCCACTGGACATTCAGGAAACACAAACTCACCAAGACAGGGTGATGGGGGAAGGGCAAGGAGCTTGGAGAGGGACACTAGTTAACACTTACAGCATGTCATGCAAAACCAAAATTGTCCTTTAAATTGCATCAGGAATGTACTAAATGGAAACAAATCGTAAGTCTGGCACTGCCAGTTTTTTCTCCAGCACAAGAACAGAATTTCTTAGGATGTGCATATGAAGTAGTTGCCTTGTGTTTAGAGGCATTATAAAAAAGTCCCTATCTTTAAACACTAGAAATAGAACTAGGAATATCTTTAAAAATTTTTTTGTATGTGTTTGAATTGTTTTTTTCAATTGCTTTTTCTAGTTAGTTTTTTCTTTTTTAAAGATTTTATTCATTTTTAGACAGAGGGGAAGGGAAGGAGAAAGAGAGGGAGAGAAACATCAATGTGTGGTTGCCTCTCACATGCTCCTTACTGGGGACCTGGCCTGCAGCTCAGGCATGTGCCCCAACTGGGAATTGAACTGGCAACCCTTTGGTTCTCAGGCCAGTGCTCAATCTACTGAGCCATACCAGCCAGGGTTCAATATCTTTAAATACATACTTACTGTGGCCAGATGCTCATACTGTATGCGGCATCTGGAAACTAAGGCAATTGCAGGTTCATTCTGGGGCATATGCTCATTGAGCGCCACTAATCTCTTAGCTCACTCTTTTCATTTTGCCAGAAGTGTACAGTTTAATTCATTTAAATCAATACACATGTGCTCCAAGGTGACACCTATGGCTGTGCAGGCTGCACATCACAAAGGACACCTGGGCAAGGAGGCTAAAGGGGACTGAATACAGCCTGCCCCCCCGCCCCAGCTCTCAGGTCATGGGTCTAATTCACACAGGTGGTATAGACGCTGGCTGAAGCCCTTTGTAGGATACTAGTCCACAGTATAACAAAGAGGCAATACAAATGCAGGCTCTGGAATCCTGGGATTTGAACACTGGCTATGCTATACACTGTCTGTGTGAACTTGGGTAAATTATGTAACCTCTGTATGCTGTGGTTTCCCTATCTAAAGGATGTGAATAATTACAATACCTACCTCACAGAACCACAGTGATATTTCAATGAGATCATGTATTTAAAGCACTCAGGACAAGGCTTCCACATAGTAAGATGTCAATAAATTAGCTAACATTATTATTAGCAGCATTAGCATTAGGTGGAGAGGAAAACAGGGAAGTCAATTTATTGCTAAAAGTCTCTAGAGCCAAATAGATGGTGTCTGGAGGTGGTGGGATCATCTGTTGCTTTAGATGCTGAAGTGTTCCTGTATTACTATGTCTAATTACAGTTGATTTTACAATAGCAGTTCTCTTTTTGTTGATTCTTCATTCCTTTTGCTCCTGGAGCTGATTCTACGTTGATAGAAAGGTGGCTACTAAGCTCCTTCATTCACTGTTAATTAATTATTAATTAGTAAGAATCCATTGCACATAAAAACTTGTGTCCTCCAGAAAATGTTTTGGAAGGCACTCCACTCACTGTAGTCATTTTTTTCACTTGTCCACTCCAGTAGCACCAACTGCACATGGCATCCACTGTCACAGGTCATCTGTGCTTAGTGAGTGTCCCTCGAGCATTGTCTCCTCAGGTAGCCCTAAAAAGGAGGAGCTGTCATTATAAAAAACAGAGGAGGCTTCCTAAGCTGAAGGAGGGACAGAATGTCAGGTACTGGAGTGTGGGGGCATCATTCGAAATGACCTGAAGTGCTTCTGGGGTTCATAAAGATTGTTCATGAATGACTGTAGCCCTCCCACCCTAGGCCTGCCATCTAGTGTGCATTGCATCAGGTTGAGTAAAGCGGCCCACTCTTAAATAAGGTCTTGCTTTGTCCTGGTAGCACTACTCCATGTTCCAGCACCTCCCTATTACACCAGGAACCAGTTGAGCCACCTGAACCTCATTGTGGAGAAGGTTGCTTGATTAGGATGTTTTGTCATTCTGAGGTGATACAACTTCTAAGCTGGGGGAGTGAAGTGTTGGGTGGGATAAGTCAATAAGATGAAGTAGGCACTTCAAATTCAGGACGCAGATCCTATCTCCAATTGATTAGCTCTAAGACCTGTCTTGCATTTTTTCCTCTATTCCTTTTCTTAGCTCAAAATAGTCATCCCTCCTAAGACCCAAGAGTAAAAGATGAGAAGTTGGATAATGGGAAGGGCCCATTCCAAAGGAGGAAAGTGTACCACTTGGTGGAAGGACGCTTGAATTCTAACACATCCAGTCTACCAAATGTTGGCTCCCCCTGAACTCTGTGCAGGGCACAGTGCTTGGGGGATATACATGTGATTAAGATATATTGTAGTTCCTGATCTCAAGTAACTAAATTTCCTAAGAGGAAAATAAGAGAACAACGTAAGTTACTCTAGGTGCAATGTCAGAGAGATACAAATGAATTAATACAGCACTTATGAGAAGGGCAAAAGGTGAGGGGGCGGGGGGGGGGAGATGATGGGAGATATGAGGGAACCTTCACCCAAGATGGCTGTTGGATTCTGAGAACTGGAGATGAGAAAAGAGCATTTTAGGAATAAAGAACAGCATGGGCAAATGCTTGGAGGAAGAAAAAGAGGAGTATATTTAGTATGGAGGTCAGTTTGGCCAGAATGTGAGGAATGTGCAAAGGCAGTATAAGAAGAAAATGTTAGAAAGGCAGGTTGAGACCAAAGTGTGGAAGGTCTTCAATGCCAGCCTAAAGTGTTTACAAAGAACTGGGTAGGGTGGGGAAAAAAGCCTGAATTAAAAAAGAGGAATGAAGGATATAAGGAAAAGAGACAGACAAAAGGAGAGGTGCTTGGGTGCCACTGCCAATCCTTTGGAGGGACAGGTCCAACCTGTCTCCATCCCAGCTCCATTTGCATGAAGAATCCCATTGCCATCTCACCTTCCTATTGCCTAGGGCAGAATGTGAATTGAGAAATCCAAGGTAAATGGGGAACAGTGCCAGAGCCCCAGGGGTGGGTGACAGGATCTGGGGGTGAGTCAGTGGGGTGGGGACCCCATTTCTGCTCACATCTACCTCCCTGGGAATATAAAGGGCAAGCAGTGAGGCCCCGCCTCAGAGCACCCAACCTTGACACCATGAAGATCCCAGTTCTTTCTGCTGTGGTTCTTCTCTCTCTTCTGGCGCTCCACTCTGCTCAGGGGGCTGCCCTGGATAGTTCTAAGGTGAGCACATCACCTGGATTTTCTTTTTCTTATACCTATTACCTCATTTACTTTTCAATTTCTTTACCTTCTATCCATTACTGGATAAGTGGTTCTTATTTTTTAATATTATCAGAGGCTGAATGAGAAGCTGGGGCTCTAAGGAAGGAAAGAAAGGAGGAAGGAAACAAAACATTCCTGGGAAGACCTGCAGGGATGGAGATGCTTATATTTCTAGAAGGGATGGTGAAGCATGGGGTGGATAAGGATAAAGAAGTTGGGAGTCGGGGCAGAAGCAGAGGACCTGGGAGGGAGAGTGAGGACAGTGAAAGGAGGATAAAACTTCTTCCCTCTTCTCACCGAAGTTGAGGGAAATCTCAACTACAGAGGCTGGACAACTGAATCTTGGGAGGAGACAAGGGACAAAGGTGGTTGTCTGGGTTCAGCTTCACCTTTGTTTCATTTGCATCCCTGGAAATGGCTTCCAAGTGACTGGATGCTCCCTACTATCTCTGAAGTCTAGGCCATAGCAAAAATCCTCATGAGCCAGTCTCTAGCCAGGAGGAATCCTGAGGCCTCTCTATCTCCATCTTACTGCACGGTGGAGGGAGAATGTGCATGCTGGATTTAAGTCTATGGCAGGGGTCACAAACGCAATTGCTTAGGATTCAAGCAAGTGATGTCGATGAGCAAGAGGGCTGGCAGGGTCTCAGGGGAGCTGGATCACACTTGCCCAGTTTAAAAGGGGGCAGTCTGTATTCCATCTGACTGCTGCAAAGTGGGAAAAACGTACCCAGTGTGGCCAGAGTTTTAAAATTTTCAGGAGTAACTGGAAATCCGATTTCTGAATTCTTACCAATTAAGAATGTTTAATTTAAAATAAAAATTCTATGAGGTCTAAACATTTGGGTCTAGCCTGTAGGCTACCTGTTTGTGACCTCTGCTTGAGAAGAAAGGAATAAGGGACAATGAAGCTGGGCAAGTTGGGAAAGCAACAAAACGGGCTGGCTGAGGCCTGGGGGAGTCGCCAAATGGAGGAGGGAAATGGAGGCTGGGACTTTGGTGGCTATAAAGTCACAAAACAAACCAACCTCAATCAATTCAAGGCAGGCAGGGCACTTCACCAACTTGGCTTCCACTGGCATGTTAATCTCCCTCACCTACCTCTCTGGGCTAAGCGTGGGTGTCTCAGGAACACCCCAAGTCAATGGCAGAACAACACTAGCTTGTTTTTCTTGGAGGAGTCCTCTTTCTCCACCCTTTCCACCTGATGCAAGTCTAGGTGTTTTATTTCTGTATCTTACAAACACCCTTCCCTTCACTTTGTATATCTGTAAGCCACCAGCCTTGCTGGAACAGACTGGGTTAACTGAGGTCCCACGTGGAGAATGGGCTATATGTTTGGAGACTGGCCTGTGGAGGAAGGCAGAGCTGATTGAGAGGGTTTGGGAAGAGAGATTTGTTGTCATGTGATCATTTGTCTCCTTTCTCCCCTTCCCTTTCCAGGAAGAAACCACCATTGGTAATTATGCCAAAGGACCTGAGGTAAATACCTATTTTCTGACACTCCAGCCATGAGTTTGTCCCCATCTCTTCATCTTTATGCTCCTTAGCAGCTTTTCTAATACACTGCTTCTTTGCCTAGGCCTTTAATACTCAGTTCCTGAACATCGACAAGTTACGATCTGTAAGTACAATTCTGTATTTGTACAGAACACATCCCCAGTAAAATTTTGTACAATTCTGTAGTTGTACAGAACATATCCTCACAAAAATCTACGTCAGAAAGATCAATGCCCTAGTAGAGAGCTTTGCAAAGCTGCCATGGACCCTTCTCCTTTTCTAGAGGGCTAGGGGCTAAGCTCTGTACTCTCCTGGAAGTGACTCTCTCCTGGTCTCCCTCTATCCACAGGCTTTTAAGAATGAGGAATTCCTGAACTGGCATGCCCTCTTTGAGGTAAGTGCCTGGGTATTCCTTATTCTCTTCGATTGTTTGCGGTCTATCCGGGATAGTGGCAACACATACTAGGTCTAGCCTGCTGGATTCTTTCCTGAGTTTAGGAGGGAGTAACTGCCATGCTTGGATGCTGTCCAGCGTAGAAAGTTTCCCCGGGAGGCTGTCAGGGCTATACTTTATTTTCCTAACACGGCAGGGGGAAGCAGGGCCACAAAGACAATTCCAAAAAGGGAAGACCTTAATCAGTCAAGAGTTTATTTGAATCATCTCATCCTCTATGAAGAAACTGAGGTCCTAAGTTGGGTGGCTTAACCAAGCTTAGAAGGCTAAATCAGTGACAATGCTGGAACTAGAGCTTGCATCACATGACTCTGCACACACTTGCTATATATCCTCATGCAAATGTCTTCAGTTCTCTGAGCCTCAGTTTCCTTTTTTGTGATGTGGGGAAAATCACAGTACCGGCCTCAAAAGGTTTCTATGAAGACCAAACAAAATCATGGCTGTAAAACAGTTAGTACAGGGCAGACACAGAACAAGGGCACAGAAAATATTAGTTCTTACTAATTATAAAACAATAGCACCACTGCAGAGAGCTCAGGGAGCGCTCACTGATCCATGCTCACCTGACCTGTAACACGAACGTCATTCTCTCTTCCTATTTTAGACTATCAAAAGGAAGCTTCCTTTCCTCAACTGGGATGCCTTTCCTAAGGTAAGAGGTAGTAAGCATAAGGAGGATAAGAAGGTTGGGAATGGGGGAAGAAGCAGAGGATCTGGGAGGGAGAGTAGGGGCAGTTAAAAGAGGATAAACCTTATTCTCACCAAAGTTAAAGGAAATCTCAACTATAATAGTTAGAGAATAGGGGCTTAGACTGGAGCAGAGATTCCTTTCCATTAGTGTCCCACCCCATCTTGGGCTTCTTTATGGAGGACTCCAGCTGCCTGTACCCAAAGGGTCCCTAGTCTGACCATATCCTCTCTCCCTCTAGCTGAAAGGATTGAGGAGTGCAACTCCTGATGCCCAGTGATAGATCCCTTCAAGACCCAGCACTGCTGATATCCACTGGAAGAGGGGCCGAATGTGGGATCCGATCACCATCCTATAATCATTCTTTCCTGGCTCAATAATTCCAATAAAATATTTTCCAACCAAATAGCTCCTGTATCTGTGTCTCTTATCCTACTGAGCTCTAGAAAAAACTTAAGAAGGAGTGGGCTTCAAGGCTGGTAGGCAAAAATCTTGAATTCTGAGAAGGTAGTAAGATAGAAAGCAGTGGGAGAGCATATCAAGATGGCAAGAGACTTCTTGTGTCTTAGCTCCCTAGTACTGGCTGACATCCTTGAGGAGCAGGGAGCTGTGAGTTGCTTGGTAAGAATCTGCTCCAAAACTACTGGCACCCTCTCCTTCCTGCCTTTTGAGAACCTGCTTCCCTTGGTGGTGGAAATCTGGGACAACAGCTATCTGGAATCCAAAGCTGAGGACCCAACTTAAATCACATGAGTCCATCTGAAATCCTTTTGTTTTTTTCTAAATTAGGTAGGTTATAAATAAAGAAAACTAGTGGTTTGACCCTAGGCCTTTCTAAGCAACTACTTCATTTGTGGAAATAAACAAGAATGATAATAACAACCTTGTAGTGTTGTTATGAAGGTCAAATGAGCTAAGGTGTGTGATGCCCCTTGCACAAGGCCAGGTATGTAGTAGGTATTCAACAATAACTTGTTTCCTCTCTTCTCCCAAAGAGCTGCCACAATGACCCAGATTCCTTATTTACTTAGTCACTCACTCAACTGTCCATCCATCCATCCCTCTATTGCAAAGATCTTCAAATGTGAAATGGATTCAGTTTCATTTCTGGCAGACTTTTCTGCATGGAACCTGTGTCCTCTGCGTGCCTGCTTTGTGTCTTAAAATGTTGAATTAGTTGGGATTATTTTTGGTTTCTCTTGAAAACTGGGAAAGTCAGAGAATAATGGACCTGTGATTGGCATAAATCTGAGTATCAGCTGCTCTCCTCACACAGGACATGGTCTCCAGATCAGGAACTTCCACCTGGCCAGTTTTACTTATTTACATATCATTTGGCTCGATAAGCAGCTGAGTTTGGAGACATTGGTCTATAGCTAACTTGAGGAAGCAGACTACAAAGGGAAATAAAATTTGTGAAGGGGAAGGAAAAACTTTCATTTACTCTCTTAAATTCTGTGGCTGGCTTAAGAAGTAAACTGACATAAGACAGATTAACAGGAGAAAAGCACACAAATTTACTTAACATTTTTACATGTACACTGGAGTCTTCAAAAGGCCAATAAAGACTCAAAGAAGGTGTTAAGTCCAAAAGCTTATGTACCTTTTAATACAAAAACAACAAATTCTGGGGATGTAATATCACAAAGTGGCTTGGACTAGGGGCAATAAACTGTGGAACATTGACTAGGAAAGTTATGGGGGAAACTAATGGCAGATCAGGGTTATTTTAGCAGATTTGTCTGTATAGACCTGAGTCAACTCCCATACTCTGGTGATTAGATTGTCCTTCTCTTCTTGGAACAGGGAAGGCCTTTACTCCAGGATGATGTTATGACCTGCCTTTAGGTAGAAAAGGGGAAGACAGAGACTTTTCTGCATCCTGTGTCTCAAGTGCCTTCAGCTCAAAATCATCATTATGTCAAAGTGGCTTATTTTGGGGTGGCATATTCTGAACCCCTTCACTTCGTTCCTGCTTTCAAAGAGTTTACAGACTAAATGACTGAGACATGTAAATGTTGCTCATACTCTTCCTTCTGGTTAACTAACAATAATAGATAGACACACACACACACACACACACACACACACACACACAAAAGGGAAGCAAGTTATAAATGGGATCATGAACAGAAAAAGAAAAAATGGAGACTGGTCAAATGCCATAATCAATTAAAATATATAACAAAGGTTGAATGCTCATAAATTGGGTGATAGAAAATGGAGTAGAGGAAGAATGAGGGGAGGTTCTTAAGACACACTTAGGAAGTGGCTAGGTTTTGGGGAAGCACCAGAGTCATCACATAGAAATCAAGACTACCTTTGAGGTAAAGCAGTGGCTCTCAAAGTGTCGTCCTGGGATCAGCAGTACCATGTTGTGGAAACTTAGAAGACCTACTGAATCAGAAACTGCAGTGCCCAACAATCTGTGTTTTAACAAGGCCTCTAGGTGATTCTGATGCACTAGAGCCTGAGAACCACTGACAAAGGGAAAGCCAGAGAATGACTAATGTAAAATTCAGGATAGTAGTTACCCTGTTGGGGCAAATGGAAAAGGAGGTGGGTAATAGAAGACTTCTACTATTAGTGTTTTTATTTTTTTCCTTAAGTATATTGTAGGAGAGGAAAAAGTATATTTTCCCTCTACCCTTCTAGGTTCTTGGCTGATTCTCTGTAACAAAAGACAGATTAACAAGAGAAAAGCACATAAATTTATTTAATATAAGTTTTATGGGACATGGGCACCTTCATAAGGAAATGAAGACCTGAAGAAGGGGTTAAATCTATACATTTTTGTGTTGCATTTGATGAAGGGTAGAAAGTCAGGGGAAAAAAAGTGATAGGACCAAAGGCATATGAGCTCATTGTAGTAAACTGTTGGAAATTTAGCAAGGCCTTCTTTCAGATTCCTCTTGGGAGCCCTTCGGTCTTGGACATAAAGATGTTCCTTTCTTCAGGGTGAAGAGAGGACACTGCTCACCTGAGGGTTTTATGACGTGCTTTGGGGGAAGTTCAGAGAGTCATTCCTGCATCTATTTCCTCAAACTCCTTCAGCTTGAAATATTCAACATGCCAAGGCATCATATTTTGGGGTGGTGTGTCCTGTACCCTGTCTCTATACATTTTATACACACTTATGAGTTACACACACTTATGAGGCCTGTCCATAAAGTATGCAGCCATGTCCTATGAAAAAGAGACATTTATTTCTTTTTAATTTTTTATTTTTAAATAATATTTATTCTATTACTGGTGTCTCAATTTTCCCCCCTTTTCCCTCCTCTACCCATCCCATCCTGCCCCCCTCTCCTACAGTCAGTTCCCCCTCTGTTGTCCATGTCCAAAGAATTAGACATGTTCTTTGTCTACTCCCTTCTCCTTCTTTTCACCATGTCCTCCTTCCCCATCCCTTCTGGTAACTTTCAGTCTGCTCCATGTTTCCATGCATGTGGTTTATTTTGTTCATTAGTTTATCTTGTTGAATAGATTCCTCTTATAGGTGAGATCATATAGTATTTGAACTGGCTTATTTCACTTAGCATGATATTCTCCAGTCCCATCCATGTTGTCGCAAAAGGCAGGAGTTTCTTCTTCTTTTTTTTAAATGCAGATTGATTTTGTTTATTTTTTAAATGTCAAAATCCATTTTAAATACTAAAAAATTTAAATCCATTATAAAGTCTCAGCAATCAAAACAATATGACACCAGCACAGAAAAAATCAAGTAGATCAATGAAATAATATATATGCCTGTCTAACAATGTATATGAGACAAATGTATATGTCTGTCTAACAATGTAATATATGATTAAATTGATATTTCAAATCAATGGGGAAAATAAGGCTTACTCAACAAATAAGGTGCATGGACCACTATTATTTGAAATAAAACAAATATAGAGCACTATTTCACACATTATACAAAAAATATTCAGGTGAGTTAAAAATCAATATGTAAAATCTAAGGAGTTTTAGGAGAAAATACAAAACACTATTTTTCTTACTCTGAAGTAAAATATTCAAACCAGAAACTATAAAGTAAAATATTGACAATAGGACTATATTAAACATTTAAGACTATATAGTAATATACATATAAAAAAACAAAAGACAAGTAATAGAATAGGAAAGTATTTGCAACACATCTAAAAAAGGGTTAGTAGTGTTTTTTAAGGAAAAAAATTCTACAAACATTTAATCAAAAAATGGATAAAGAATACCAAAAAGTCATTTAAACCTTTTCAAAAATAATAGAAATAGGCAAGAAATATACAAAAACAGGTTTAGTTTCAACAAATAATGAAGTAACAAAATAACATCATTGTTACAATCAGATTAATATGTATTAAAAATATTGGTAATATCAGGTATTGGTGACTGTGAAAGGAACTGGGTATTCATAGGCTCTTTTTCTTTATCTTCTTAAAGCAACCCCTTTAGCATATTTTGCAATGCTGGTTTGGTGGAAGTGTATTCTTTTAGCTTTCTTTTGTGTGGGAACCTCCTTATTTCACGTTCCGTTTTCATTGAGAGCCTTGCTGGGTAGAGCAGTCTTGCTTGTGGGCCTTTGCTTTTCATAACTTGGAATATTTCTTGCCACTCCCTTCTGGCTTGCAGTGTTTCTGTTGAGAAGTCAGATGCTAGCCGTATCGGGGCTCCCTTATAAGTTACTAGCTCTTCCTCCCTTGCTTGCTTTAGGATTCTCTGTTTGTCTTTGATATTTGCCATTTTAATGATGACGTGTCTTGGAGTGGGCCTCATTGGGTTCCTCTCGAATGGGACCCTCTGTGCTTCCTGGACTTGTGTGACTTTTTCTCTCCTCCAATTAGGGAAGTTTTCCATCATTACTTTTACCAACAGGCTCTCTATCCCTTCCTCATCCTCTTCTCCTTCTGATATGCCTATTACACAAATATTATTATGTTTAGGTTGTCCTGCATTTCCCTCAATGCCTCTTCATTGTTTTTGAGCCCTTTTTCATTTTCTTGCTCTTTCTGGGAGCTTTTTTCTACCTTGTCCTCCAGCTCGCTGATTTGTTCCTCTGCTTCCTCTAGCCTGCTTTTGATTCCTTCTACTGTGTTCTTCAATTCAGAAAGTGTATTCTTCATTTCCTCTTGTCTCTTATTGATAGTTTCTATGTCCTTTTTCATGGTGATATAGTTTGCAGTAAGTTCCTCATAGTTTCTCTGCATTTTTTTGAATTCTCTCTGAGCTCACCGAGCTCATTGAGCTTCTTTAGAACGGTTGTTTTGAACTCAATATCTGATTGTTTACTTGCTT